TTTTTTTTGGAAATCTTAACATCTGTATCTCGAAGCGTTTATGGCCCTATATTTATACAGGGTGTTTGGTAAGTCAATGCATTCCTTGCAGGAGGTTATAATACAAGCGATTTGTGATATATTTCCTTAATATACCATATTCCGATAACGCTTAGTTTCTGATCTACAGGGTGTTAAAGTTTTAATAAAAAAATGCAAATGTGTAAATATTGCGGAAACCGCTCAGAATATTTCAATGAAGTTTTACAGGCTTTGACAGTTAACAACAATACATGTTTTACAATAAAAATATTGTTTTCAGTTTCACCAGTGGCGTGCGCACAGGCATGTCTCTAGATATTGTTAAAGAAAAAAAATTATACACCACTGATTTTTCTTAAAATAAGAATTATTTTTCAATTTCTTGTTCAATTTGGAAGAGAAAAGTATATTGACTGTTTTTTTTTATGACACACCGTTTTCATGTAAAAAAAATAAAATCGATTTATTGCATGGCGTAATTCAGTTTCAATAATTTGAAAAATAGCAAAAATTATGCACTTAACTGCTTCACACTCAAACACTCAAAGTGACAGCTATTATTAATTTTGTCAAACAATAACAAAAACAAGTGCACAGGCACAGCCAACATGCTAATTTCTGTTTATATAGTGAATAGTGAATCTAAAAACTGATAAAATGTTTTTAGACTGATGTTAACTGCGAGAAATAATAATTTTTTGTAATAAAATTGGTACAAAAAAAAGTCGAGTGCATAATTCTGCTATTTTAATTTTTTTACTTGAAAACGGTGCGTCATAAGAAAAATAGTCAAGATACCTTTTCTCTTCCAAATTGAACAAATAATTGAAAAATAATTTTTATTTTAAGAAAGATCAGTTATCGTAAAACATGTATTGTTGTTAATTGTCAAAGTTTGTAAAATTTCATTAAAATATTCTGAGCGGTCTCTGCAATATTTATAAATTTGCATTTTTTTTTATAAAAACTATCTGTAGATCAGATATATCACAAATCACTTGTACTATAATCTCCTGCAAGGAATGCATCGACTTACCAAACACCCTGTATACAGTTTTTTACTTATTTTTGACCTGAGGAACATGTCTTCAAAGTCTGTCGACTTAATCTAGAAACACCCTGTATATATGGGTGGTTCATGAAGGAAATATTGTTATTCCATTTATTCGCAAAGTTAAAAGAAATATGTACTTTAAAGCTTTGTTAGTATTTAAATATAAAATCTACTTTTATCCCATAGTCCTGAATTATCTATAAAAATGGCAGATACATGATGGTTTAAATTAAGGTGGCATTATTGCTTACTTTAATATCATTGGATTGATTGGAAAGTTAATTAAATTTACAAAAGTTCCCTTTTTGATTGAAACGTACTAAATAAAAAAAAATGATCTATTAAATATAAATAGTTGATAAAGTTCTTTTTAGAACTTTATAAAAATCAGAGCAATTTTATTTTTAGTCCCTACTATTAGCGACGCTTACAATTTGCTTCAGTAATTACACGACAGAACTTTTAAATAAACACGACACAACGATAAGATACAATATGTCTGTCACAGTTATCCCTCCCACACAAACAGTTATTGTCACCTCTTTGAGAATCCACGATCTGGCTATTCCTGAATGTGTAAATTATATTCATATTTGGGTGGTTCATTAAAAAAAAAAAAAGAATTAAAAACTGTCTCGGTACTTTAAAGCTTTGACAGCATGCAGATATAAGTGATTAAAAAACCTATCTTCATTGAAGATTTCTAAATTATAACCCTTATAAAAAAAGTAACAATGTTATGTAAAGTGTCTTTAAAATTTACATTTCCTTTGAACCGGTTTTCGATCATTAGAAATATGTTTTTATGTTATCTAAAATAATAGAATGCAATTATTTACCAATATTTTGTGTATTTATTCTCGTGTGGCAACTATTTCTTCTTTGTCAACACTTCTTTTTTTCTAAAAATAAAATACTATTCCTGTATTTGTGTTTCATCCATCTATTTTCACAGTATATTACAGAAATCATAATTCCTATAAATATGACATTTTAAAATATACAACTATATCTATCAGGTTTGACCTATTTTGCTTACAAAATAACTTGTGTTACACACCGTCTCTCTCTTCCTTTAAACAAAATTCCTCAATTTTTACACCAACAATTTGGGGTGATAGACCTATTAAAGCTTCCGCTTTGAATAAAGATGAACATATCGTATTTAAATGTGTTGAAGTGAATAAGGAAAGGAAAATGTTATTTTAGAGTATATATATGTTTACATGTGACTGATATATTTTTAGCTTAGCCTCTAGCATAGTTCAGTCAGACTTTGCTGTTGCACTGCTTCACAACTTTGTGTTCTTATTCTTGTGCCAGATTAAGCAGAGAATTCCTCAAATTAAAAATGTATTTTATTTAAATTATGTTTTCATCTTGCATATGTTCCTTCAAAAAGGTAAAACCAGTTTGTTTAATTTTTATTATTCCAGTATCTTCAATCTTTGTACCCATTTAAGAAGCATTATCGTATTTATAGAATAAAAGTAATCTGCATAACATGTACATACAAATGTATTAAAAATTTTAAGCATCTTACAAATAAGGATTAAATATTACGAAAAGTAGGTTAGTCTAACCGATCCTAAGAAAACTAATGGCTTGGTTGCTGCTTTAACTCCTAAAATTTGCATTATAATTATTTTTTTTTGAGTTAACATTTATTAGAACAGTGGCGGTTGGTAAAAATTAATGTGGTCATGTTTTGATAATGAAACGTGGGACCCATAACAATTTTTAAGAGATGATTTCTATAAAGAACTTTAATATCGAAAACCTTTCAAACAAAATTTGTGAAATAAAAATAGGTGCAGTCTCCCCTGAGATCTCAAAGAAGGTTTTAAGAAAAATGAAAATTTTGTGAAAAATAAGAAAACACCTGTTTCATATATCAGTTGATTATAAAAAAATTTATTTTAAGTTTCTATTTGTTTCTAAGCCCAGAAATCATTTCTTGAAAAGCGGTATGTGTCCCACACTTCATTACCAAAATATGACCACTTTAATTTTCAGCAACTGCCATTTTTTTAGAATTAATTTTCCATAGGTCACATTCTTCTTTATTACCAGTGTTACTAATTTAGGTGTTACATTAAATGGTGTGATAATATGCTATTAGTTATTAAAAATGTGATGTATGTATTACGTTGTTTTATAGCACTTTAATATTGATGAATAACCAGGATTTATAATTTATAGATTTGTTAAAAATGTGTTTATTTCCCTTTCATATAAAATAATTTAGAGAATCATTAATCTTGGCTAATTTTTTAAATTATTTAACCGCTTTTTGTGTAAGCTGGAGTGTGTTGCAAATTAACCTAATGTTTAGTGTACATAAAATTTAAGATATTATGAGTGGCAGCAAAACTGGACTGGCACGAAAACCATCGCAAAATTTGTAATAATCTTCCTTAATAATGGGATGTTGAATAAGTTCTCTCTGTTTTTCCATAAAAACTATTGCTTTATGTAAAAAAAATTAGTAAAAACATATTACTGACTGTATTGTTCATCGTTAGCCACTATTTTTTCCCACCTTTCCATTTTATTTCCAAGTCGGAAAAATGATGTCTTTTGAGACTATCCAAGAGTTGACCCATTTTTTGGCATCCTCATAAGAATGGAAGTGCTGCTCAGCCATGCCATATGCCATCGATCGGAACAAGTGATAATCGGAAGGAGAAATATCTAGTGAATATGGTGGGTGGGGGTAGGATTTGTCATTTAAGCACTTTCAAATAGGTTTTTACTGGTATTGCAACACATGGCCTAGCGTTCCTATGCTGCAAAATCATTTGTCGTGTCTCTGCTCGTACAGCGGCCTTTTTTCCTTCAATGTTCGGCTCAAACGCTTCAATTTAGTCGATAGTGATCTCCCGTGATATTTTCATTCAGTTTGAGTAGCTCATAATAAACTACACCTCGCTCATCCCACCAAATACAGAGTAGAAGCTTGGAACCATGGGTATTTGGCATTGCCGATAATGTTGACGTATGTCCGGGCTTGCCTCACGATTTTCTATGTTTAGGATTATAATAGGATATCCATTTTTCCAGTTCGATACGATGCAAAAAAACCTTTCTGAAGCAGCTGTTCACACATGCAAAGACACCGTTCGATGTCTCTCGTCTTCAGCTCATACGGCACCCAATGCCCTTGCTATTGAATCATTCTTAATGCTTTAAAACATTTCATAACTGTTGTATGATCAACTCCTTATTATTCTGCAGGTTCAGTTAGCATCTGACATGAGTTTTCATGAAGTAATGCCTCCAGTTTCAGTGCGCCGGAGCGTTCTTTATCTTCAACATCAAAATAATTATTTTTGAAGTATCTAAACTAAATCATTCTTTGTATGATGTTTCTGATAGAGCATGGTCGCTATAAGTTTCAACAAGAATTCTGTCTGCTCCGCCAGCTGCACATTTCTTTTGAATAAAGTAGTGCAGTAAAATTCCCCACAAATACTCTTTTTTTTGGCATGAAATCCAACATGTTTAACAATATGAAATGAAAGTAGTTTATACTTCTGCGAAATAACATACACTGAATTTCAAGCTTGTTTATAGTACTTCTTTATAGATGTGTTACCATCTTAAACTACATGCTTGCAGTTTTGGTAACGCCATTTGTTGGAAAACAGCGGGAACTTTCTCAACGTCCCATTAATAGGCAACTTCACAGATTTTTATAAAAGTCTATTGTAATGTTGATTTTACATGTAATAAAAGATGCAAATTTTGTATTGGTTTTTTATTTTAAAGTTTGTCTGATAGATTAGATGGAGGAGTCAATATTTGTCATGATTCATTTGTAAATTTATCATTTTCTTTGAAATTTCATGTAGACGGTGTTATTAGAAGACTCCTTCATTATGCTTTGTCAACGTTTTAATTGTCCTTATGTTCCTGTTGATAGAACTCAATGGAGGAATCACATCTTGAAGATCTTGAAATTGCAGAGCATTACAAGGCTCTTACCGTCGAATTGGAAGCCAAAATTGAGGTAATTACTAAGAGATATTCATATTTATAAAGGTACACATTTTTTAAGTCTATAAAAATCCGTATAAATTTTTAGATACTGGTAGCGACTCTAAATGAAAAAGATGTCCAAATGCAAAAAATTCGCCAGCAGTATGAAGAAATACTGACCAGTTTGGAAGACAAGGAAAACAGAATAGTCGACTTGGAATTTGAATTATTATCAGTACAGAAAGATAACACTAATAATAACAGTGACAAAGTACTACTTGAAAAGGGAGATAGTGGTTCCGAGAAACATAGCAGTTTTTACAGACACGAAATTGAAGAGAAAGACAAAGAGATAGAAAAGCTCAGTGTGGAACTGAAAAAATGCACGTGCTATCTTCAGGAGATCGTCAATAAAGAGTTGTGGGATAAAAACAAGGAAATTGAAAAGTTACACAATAAACAAGCTAATTCATCAGAGGTGTTGAAGCTGAGAAAAGATTTATCAGAGAAAGAGATACAGCTGAAGCTTCTGAAGGAGAAAATATCTGAATTGGGTTTGGATGTTAACATTCCTACAGAGGAATCATTTGATGGCAAAGACTTATCTTCTCCCTCGAAAAACATTCAACATATCAGAACGCTTCAGGAGCAGTTGAAGCTGTGCAAAGAAGAAAGAAATTATTTTAAAGAAAAATCTGAAGAACTGTATGTTCAAACTGAGGTGATTGAAAAATTACATGCTCAAAATCAGGAGTTGAAGACCGACATCGAGAAGTGTGAAAAACTTAGGCAGGAATCCAATGAAGTCTGTTCAATATTAAGCGGTCGTCTTGAGGAATTAGCGATCTTTTTGGATTCATTACTTAAACAGAAGTCTGTACTTGGATTCCTAGGATTGCAGAAGAACCGGAGACTACGTGAAATTATCGACAACAGTTTAGATTTATCCAGGTCCTTTACTATGAGTATGATGATCAATCCTGACCAAAGTCTGGCCCAATTGTCAAATATAACCACACTGTTGAATGGGTCTGTTTTCAACGACTTAACACTGGACCATCTACCTCAGGAAGAAGATGAGCCTCAAGCAGTTCTTAGCATTATACCTGCCAATGTAACTTTAACATATCAAAGCCACTTATACAAACAGAATAAAAACTCAGGGCCAAACAATGAACAAGTAATATCGGCCTTGAGGGAACAAATTATTAATCTAAAATCTGAACTGCAATTGAGAGACAATGAATTAAATAGATTAAACATTTTGAATAACAGAGAGGTCAGTGATAAAACTACTGAAACTGACGATGATGAAACATACAACAAATATATTGGTTTTAAGGATGTTTCCAAACTATTTACAACACCGAACAAATGTAATACAACCTCTACAACTCTTAAGTATCAAAGTGAATGTCAGTCTGAATCGGAAGCTTGGTCAGAGCCCGACAGAGTTGTTTCTCGTGCTAGAATAGGACTAAGTCATACTTTACCTATAACCATAAGGCAAACTAAGGAAGATATAAATGAATCGACTGAAGAAGAATCTGGCAGCAGTTGTACACCAACAAAAAAGAATTGGCCAGAAAAGCGCCAGGTTGTCGTTGAACTCCACCAACGAATTTATGAATTGGAAGATAAGTTGAAAACAAAAACTGCAGAACTTCTGAATACACAAACAAAATTTCTTGAAAGCAATAATGCTAACAAAAGAAATCTAGAGGATTTGGAACAGAAGCTTGCTGAAACAGAAAATAAACTGCTAGAAGCGCAGACAAGTAGAAATGAAGCCGAGAATCAAATTAAGCACCTTCAACAAACTATTGAAGAATTAAGTAAAGCTAAACGAAACTTAGAAGAATCTGCCGCTACAAAAGATAAAGAAACACAGAATAAGATAAATCAACTTGAAGTAGAAAGGGAGGAAGCTTCTAGAATGGCTCAAGATTACGAAAAGGAAGTTGCGAATGCCAGAAATGTAATAAAGTCTGCAGAATCTAAATTGAAACAGATGCAACAAGAGATGTGCCAGCTTGAGGGAAACTTAAGAGCAGAGTACGAGCAACTTGCGATTATTAAACTTAAAGATGCCGAAGAACAGTTCTCTAAGAAGCTGAAGGAGGTGGAAGAAAAAGCAGAAAGAAAACTAGATCAAATAGTAGAGGAATATTCGAAAGACTTCATAAGAAAAATTGAGGTAGAGAAAAAACTTCTCGAGGTCGAAAAGTTGGTCGTGGAATTAGATGATGTGAAAAGAATTGTTAAATCGTACGAAGAGACAATTGAATGCTACAAAGAGAAAGAGAATGAAATAAGAAACCGTACACATGAATATCAGGACAAAATCAATTCGTTACGCAAAGATCTAGATAATACAACTCTCCAGTACTCTGAAGCAGTCTTGGAGAAAACCAAATTAGCCAACGAGAAAACTTTACTTGAACAAGAACTAAGTAAATTCAATATGAAAGAATCAGAAATGAAACAACAGTTTAGTGATATTCAAACGGAATTTACTAATGTCAATGAAAACTATCAGCAACAAATATCGATGCTTCAAAAACAAAAATCCAAACTTGAAATGAAAATAAGTGAGTTGGAATCCATGAATGCGGAATTACACAATAGGTTGGTGAGATTCCAAGCTGGTCGTGGTGATTTCAACGTAACTGTGCCTATGATTGGGAACAAACATATACACGTAGTGCCCTTTAAAAGACAATTTTCTGATCAAAACTACAGTTCTGAAGAAAATATCAGTTTTAACCGTCCCTTAATGCAAGATCATCAGCCGGTGGATATGGAAAGACATGAAGCTAATTCTTCACCAGACTTAGGTATCGAGAGTGATCACGGAAGATTTTCCAGTTTGGAGACAGCCGCTAATATCCCAAGGCCTCTGCTGCAGACCATTGAGCTGACGGAGTCTATGAGCAACCTGCTGGATGGAGAAAATCAAGTAGACAATGTTACCTGTGGTAAGTGTGTCAGTCTTATATACAGGGTGTCTCATAATTAGTGTCCAATAATTTATCACTTGATTCTATTGCCAAAAATAAGAATGTTTTTTCATATAAACATGGGTAGAAAAATGCTTCCTAAGGGAGCTACGCCCCCCTAAATGGGGTCTCATTAAATTCATTTTTTTTTTCAATATTTCCGAAATGGGTTGAAGGAAAATTATGAATTTTGACATCGTGAATGCTCATTAAAATTCAAAATAGATCATCACAAAATTTTTTGAAAATTTGAGTCGGGCGTCTCAACTGGGGGGGTCGTCGGCTAAAATTTGTCCCAATTTTTTTGCTTGTCGAAATTTTCAATTTCAGATGCCAATACATATATGATAGACCCTCATTTCTTCTACAAAAATAGGTACTCTTTATTTCTTTCGATAAAATACTACATTTCCGAGAAAAACGGATCTAAGCATTTCATTACATACATTAATAAAATTCAAAAAAATTTTCTTGAATAGCTAAAACGGGTACATGTATAGTTTTTTCGAAGATAATTGAAGAACCAATATCTTCAAGGTATGTACCAGGCTCGGTCGCTAAGCAGCAACTCGACATTAAAATATTTGAAAAACTTGTTCCCACATTTATATAGCCATACCTATATACAGATTTGGTCGAACGAAAAGTGTAGGTGGTAGAAATGTATACGCTCAGTTGAAGAATGAGCGTGCGGGCAAAGAGCAATGCGCACTGTTTCTCTGGTCCACTGCGTTGTCAAAATTCAGTTGTCGACTAGTCGCCTAGCAGTGCAGTGCGGGAATGCGGAATTTGGTGTGATTCAGATAATTTTAATTTATTATAGGCACCCTTCTATTAATCATTCATATTACAATTGGGAAAGGGAAAAATAAGAGGGATATTTGGTTTACTAATATTATTACAACACGGCATTTTGGAGACCTTTTGAAAACGAAATTTATCATCCATATAATAAAATTTTTGAAGACATAAATAATTAAAATATGTTGTTGGTCAAATGAACATATAATAGAAATTTTCTACACATTATATACAAGTTATTATGATTTTCTACTTTTAGCAGAAAACTTTTTTAGGGACGCCCGTTATAAAATTTGCCCCAAATTTGTCGCTGTTTTCAAATTTAAACGGTAAAATTTGACATCTAAGTTTTCTATTAAAAATGGTAATGTTTTATATCGAAAAAGTAATCCGTTTTGGAGAAAAATCGGTTTAAATATGTCATAACACTTTCCAAAGTGTGCTTTTTTAAGTCACACTTAAATCCGATTTTCTCAGAAATGGAGCATTTTATAGAAAGAAATAAGAGTACCTTTTTTGTAGAGAAAATGAAGGTCTAGGTTGACCTCTGAATTCGAAAATTTCGACAAGCAAAAAATTGGGGCAAATTTTAGCCGGCCCCCCCCCAATTGAGACACCCCTGATCAAAATTTATGAAAAATATGATCTATTTCAACTTTTAATGAGTGTTTATGGTGTCAAAATTCATTCAACCCACTGCGGATATATTAAAAAAAGAATTTTTTGAGGTCCCATTTAGGGGTGGCGTAGCTCTCTTAGGAAGCATTTCTCGACCCATGTTTATATGAAAAAATATTCTTATTTTTGGCAATAGAATCAAGTGGTAAATTATTGGACATTAATTATAAGACACCCTATGCATATTATCATTTTTAGAATAAATTTTTGTATACAGTGTTCCAAAATTGTAACTTATTCTCCCTTCTTCATGGATTAAATACTTTGAAAACTGAAAAATTTAATACGATTTTTCTAAATGCACAACTAATTTATTATTCAAACCATCTCTTGAGCAATTGTTGCATCGTTGGCTACTTTCAAGTTACTCTTAATTAAAACATGAGAAACGCCACTTGCCCAGAAGATTTAAATTACTAGGACTGTGAATTAATTTTGAGGGATTTTTTTGTAAATTCGAGGCTTTATTGTGAAAATTTGAATACATTATTATTTCTCAAAGTATTGTCCATCGCAAGCCACTACTTTTTCCCATCTTTCTGGCAGCATACAGATTGCGAGTCGAAAGAACAACTCGTCTTTTTTGATGCTACCCATCAATTGATCCCATTTTTCATATCTTCATAAGATTGGAAGCGCTGCTTAGCAGGCCGTATTCCATGGATCGGAACAAGTAGTAATCCGATGGAGCAATATCTTATGAATATGGTGGGTGGGGTAAAACATCCCATTTCAGTGTTTTTAAGTATTTTTTGACCATAAGTAATATGTGGTCCGAGCATAATGATGAAAAATTACGTTACCATGCCTTTGCTCGAATTGCAGCCATTTTTCCTTCATTATACGGTAGCGTTCACCAGTGATAATTTAATTTGGTTGCAGTAGCTCATAGTACACAACACTAAGCTAGTCCCACCAAATACAGAGCATGAGCTTCAAACCATGAATATCGGTCTTGCCGTTAATGTTGATGCTTGACCAGGCAAACCCCAAGATTTCTACGGTTAGGATTATCATTGTGTATCCAATTTTCATGACAATACGATGCACAAAATCCTTTCTATTTAATAATTTTTTTAATACTTTTAACTGTTTTCAGGATTTTAATAGTCGAAAATAAAGTGATCCCGTAATTCTCAACCATGATATATGCAAAATGGATGGAGTTAAAGAAGTGCTTCTTTGAAATCTTTTCTTCAAAATTAATGTATCTAAGGTGCATGAATTAAGTTTATTTGACAATTTGGAAGCTTTATTGATATGCGAATTTGTAGCTACTCTGTAAAAATATTTGTATGTATGTCTATTGTAAATTTGATTCATTCCGTAGAATAATTAGATACGTTCATTTTAAAGGAAAAAGTTCAAACAGATATTTCCCTAGCTCCATCCCTTTCTCGTATATCGTAGCTGAGTTTGTCAGGAAACTGATTTTCAGTTGTTAATATCTCAAAGTCTAAATCACGCTAAAAAAAAGGTCCAGTCCAAAAATTCTTTCCAGTGGCGTTGAAACAGGAGTACATTCTTGAAAAAATAAAAATTATAAGTACTCCCAGAAAATTTTAGAGGGCTGTCCCTGGTTCTTAATGAACTAACACTGTATATAAGAAAGTAACTTGATAGTTTTTGAGAAATTTTTCTTATTGGGAATAAAAGTAGAAATAATAAATTTTCATTTCCTATCCTGTGAATATTTTAAAAAAATGTGTAAGTAGCTATCTTTCATTTTGCAGGAAGTGAACATTGTTGTCAGAAAACTCTGGAAATAGCTCGTGAAAACGGAGAACTCAAAAGGAAGTTATTGCGAATGAGGAGAGCTTTAGAAGAGACTGCAAACCAGCTGAATTTAGCCAATCAACGAAAGAAGCAAGTGGAAAAGACAATTTGCAAACAAATCCATAAAACCAGTCAGGTGTTGCGCAAAGCCAAAGCTAATTTGGATTCGGGTTCAGAAAGTGATGTGCTAAATAAAATGTAAACATTATACGTCTGTTTTTAGGTCGTTAAAATTGACCAAGAATATCCTGCCATTTTTAACTTATATCATATTTTTTTCAGCCTTCCTTTGTTTTTCATATTTTTATTTATACATTTAAATTTAAGTTTTAAACATCCCCAGTAATACTTGTGTATTATTATTACTATAATAAAAGTTTATTTTTTTATATGACTGGAATGTGATATTTCCTGTGTCTTCTGTGCCAACTGCGTACAAATATTTTAATTTCCTTGTTGAAAATTACTTAAGACAAATGTATATTCTAAGGGTAGTGTGTTATAGTTATTCGTTCTACGAATTTTGAACAGTATTTTGTGATGAAATGTGTATATTTTTGACATTTATGTATATATTTGAGGTTCACAAATTATATCTTTTTGATTTTTGTATTAATCGAGTGTTATTTTCCCTCTTTGTTTCTTCCAGTCCAACTCGAATGCTGTTTTTTCCAATAATTTCACCCTGTTGAAATTAAAATTGCTTTTAACATTAAATATGCACGCATAAGCAATCAGTTTTTTTAAAGTTGTTTTTGAGAAGAGATAGAAAAAGAACTAATGACATTCTTGAGCTTGATTTCTAAGGGGGAACATCTGAGTAGACAGTGAAAAAAATCGATGAATTTTAGGAATTATCTCAAAAACTATCTGTTTGATTCTATACAGGTTTGTTTTATTTGAAAATATACACGTTGAGGTATGCTGATAAATTTCTTACGACTGTTGCTGTCATGGTCAGCGTAAAAATGTACCTCGCTTGCGTGGTCTACGGTTCCCAAGATTACATGCAGTCGGTTGATCTGATACAAAAATTTCAAAATGATTCTCAAAATGTAACATGCATGTAGGATTAAAAAAAAATGATATGGCGGCCGATTGAATTTTACATTCATTTTTCAACCTTAAATTTCGACTTTTTTAGCTTGCTAAAAAAATAATTAAGTGAAAAAAATCCTACGTTCCGAAGTAGAAAACCTGTTCGAAAATACTGTGTCAAATTTTGGAAGCAATCGGTCAAGTCGGTTTCCAAATATTTTGGAAACTGTCTGAATAGTAAGTTTTGAGATTATCGTGTTTGCAGTTTGGCAAAGAATTGACACTCTTGGGAACTTGATCACTCGTTAGCTTCTTGGTAAATTGCTCATCACTTTTACAGTTCTCGGAATTTCAAAATAACATTTACGCACGATATTCTTCATATTCCAAACTTGGAGTTTTTTTAGAAACCTTTTTTTTATTATACTTAATCTGCGATTCCTGAACCATAGAGTAGGTCCTTCGCAGCACTGGCAGCATCTTCTGCAGCAATCCATGAGTGCCTTCGTTGTATTCTCCCTTCACGTGTCGCGTTGTGACTTTTGACTTTGATGGTATGCACCTGTTCCACCTCTTTGATCTCGTAAAGCCGATCAGCATTTCTTCCTACCTTTTCTGCTATCTATTTCTCTATAAAATTTAAAAAAAATCCTACGTTCCGAAGTAGAAACCCTGCTCGAAAATATATGTCAAATTTTGGAAGCAATCGGTCAAGCCGTTTTCCGAATATTTTGGAAACTGTCTATTTTGAGTTTATCATGATTGAAGTTTGGTAAAGAAGTGACACTCTTGGGAACTTGGTCGCTCGTCAGGTTCTCGGTAAATCGTCCATAACTTTTACAGTTCTAGGAATATCGAGATAAAATTTACACACGATATTCTTCATATTCCAAACTTGGAGAAATTTTATCAGAAACCTTTTTTTTACTATACTGTTAACCTGCGATTCCTGGATCATAGAGTAGGCCCTTTGCAGCACTGGCAGCATCTTCTGCAGTGATCTCTAACTGCCTTTGCTGAATTCTCCCTTTACGTGTCGCGTTGTGAGTTTTGACTTTGACGGTATGCACCTGTTCCACCTCTTTGATCTCGTAAAGCCGATCAGCATTTCCTCCTACCTTTTCTGCTATCTATTTCTCTATAATATTTAAAAAAAATCCTACGTTCTGAAGTAGAAACCCTGTTTGAAAATATGTGTCAAATTTTGGAAGCAATCGGTTGAGCCGCTTTCCGAATATTTTGGAAACTGTCTGTTTTGAGATTATTGTGTTTGAAGTTTGGTAAAGAATTGACGCTCTTGGGAACTTGGTCGCTCATCAGGTTCTCGGTAAATCGTCCATAACTTTTACAGTTCTTGGAATATCAAAATAACATTTTCTCACAATATTCTTCATATATTACCATATATTAAAACGATATCCATCGACTCCGAGTTGCTATACATGCAAGCCATTTATGACACTAACTACTAGAAAACTATTGTAAACACTATCACAACGACGATTGTAAAATCGGATTTCTGTATTCGGAGTCGCTGAGGCCACGTGCTCTCTATGCGTATTGCGAATGACGCTGAGACTACAGTTGTCTAGCGATGTAATGCTTGAAAGTACTACAATTTCAATAATTTTTTTCTCGGAAACTACAGAGTTACCCATTTGAAAGCGGGCCACCCTCATAACATTTTTATTTATGGAGCGATTTTGACGAAATTTTTTTTTAAATGTAGAGGGGGGGAAAAGTGTATTTTGGGACCAAGCGCCGTCCAGTTCTTTTTTAAACTAAGGCCTACTAGATCACATTCAGAGGTTGAAAAATCCAGAATCCATATTAGCGATTTTTTAAAAAAAAACCGCCGAACCCAACGGAATCCACCGCCCCCGAAAAGGAACCGGAACAAAATTCATGAAAAAATATTCAACATTAACGATTCTGCGGCTAAATTGCTGTCAAATTGTTTATTATACATAAAGAAACTTTTTATCTAGTAACCCATGCGATAATAAATCAATCACAGCAAATATTTAATAACACGTTTAATAGACATCATTATACCAAAATACAATGAAACAGACAGAAAAATGAACGAGAAATTAACATATAATTTACAAAAAATACAATAAAATAAAATTAACACACATGAATTAAATTAAATTCTGGAATTTTCAACTAAATCTTCATTTAATTGAATGCATTTATTGTATTGTTTTTGAATGTGTGCCATAACATTAGACAATTGATGTGTTGTAATTTCAGTGCAATTAAATTAAATTCTGGATTTTTTAACTAAATCTCCATTTAATTGAATGAATATTTTTGTAAATGTTGCCTCTCCTAGATTTTTTTTATGGGGGTTCATTAAAGAAAAACTTTACTACACTCGTCCAATGAATGCAGAAGAACTGCGCGAAAGAAGAAGATAGGCATGCACTGAAATTACAACACATCAATTGTCTAATGTTACGGCACACATTCAAAAACAATACAATAAATGCATTCAATTAAATGAAGATTTAGTTGAAAATTCCAGAATTTAATTTAATTCATGTGTGTTAATTTTATTTTATTGTATTTTTTGTAAATTATATGTTAATTTCTCGTTCATTTTTCTGTCTGTTTCATTGTATTTTGGTATAATGATGTCTATCGCATGGGTTACTAGATAAAAAGTTTCTTTATGAATAATAAACAATTTGACAGAAATTTAACTGCAGAATCGTTAATGTTGAATATTTTTTCATGAAATTTGGTACAGATCCATTTCAGGGGACGCCGAATCCAGTGGCGTACGTAGATTTTTTCTAAAAATATCGCTAATATGGATTCTGGATTTTTCAGCCTCTGAATGTGATCTAGTAGGCCTTAGTTTAAAAAAGAACTGGACGGGGCTTGGCCCCAAAATACACTTTTCCCCCCTCTACATTTCAAAAAAAATTTCGTCAAAATCGCTCCATAAATAAAAATGTTATGAGGGTGGCCCGCTTTCAAATGGGTCACTCTGTATAAGGATTTCACAACAATTTTTTTTTACGATATCGACTCCATTTCTCATGCCGCATCTATTCCCAAATTTTTTTGAATAAGTTGTGAGTGTGATAAGTTGAGTCGCATTTATGTTATCTGGCAGGAATTGAGGTAAAAAATGACCTCTACACTAATATTTTGGCCTATATAGAATATTTTGCCAATATCATCTTTTTAGTAAATCTTTTAATCAGAAAACTATATGAACAAAATATATTTGTTGAAATGGATTAGAATCTAGAAAGATCACCAATAGATTCCACGGTCAAAATTAAGGAGCTTTAGTCAGCAGAGTAGTTCTTTTCTACATTATTATTAATTAAATGCTTATCTTTAAAGTTGCTTTTAAACAAATCTAGATGTTTTGGCTTCAAAGAGCATCAGATGAAATGTTTAGATAAAATTTTTAGAAAATCTGGTTATCCTTTTTAAAGTGAGTATTATGCATTGCAAACCAATATTATAAGTAAATTAATAGGGATAGGAGGGGGTAGCACAAATAAAGTAGTTTTATTGAAAAATGCTTGTTTTGGAGATAGGGTATTCAAGTTGCAAAAATTGAAACTATTCTTCGAAACTCATAAGCAATGTTTTTCTAATGCAATTTGGATCATCATCAGGTAAAATTTTATAAAAAATACAGAAAGCCAGTGGCATACAAACTTAATATTAAGTAGTTCTTTTATAAAAAAAATAAATGTTATACCATTAGCACAGAAATAATATAATTAAAATGTTCAATGGTTTTTCTGTAGAAAAACTAGATGTCAAATGAATTAGTTCAGAGAAAATTATTGCATTATACGCTAAATCAAACATCATCTTATTGCCAAATTTCAAGCTGTATCGATTATTTTTACGATTTAAACTAAATTAGGTACCTCTTCAAATCTCAGTGTCGATGAGGTAGGGTTCTTATATAAGATTTACATCTTTAAAAACTTGGATTTTTAATTGGATATTTAATATTCAAATCATTTACAAAATTTATAATAAATAATTTGAAAGATATCTCTTGAAAATTAATATTAATAAATTAAAAAAATTATACAATTATTTCTTCACTATTAGCTAACCAAAATTACTATTAAACAAAGTACCTATCTGCATTTCATATAATTTCAAAGTTTTAAAAAATTAGATTTTTCGGTAAAATACAGGTATATAAGCATTTGATTAAATCATGAAGAATTAAAATGTCATTTATTAAAGTTACCATGTAAAATTAAACATTTAAAAAACTAACTTATACACAAGGTGAGGGGTAATTCATGGTTTGAGGAATGGGAGATAAATAGACATTACTTGAATTCACCCTAACATTGAGAAAATCAGTGTCATTATAATAGTTTGGTACTGAAGTTGTACTGTACATTTGGTTGGGCGAAAATTCAGGTGGGAAGAATACTTGAGGCGGGGGTACAAAGCTTAATGGAGTAATGGGTGTCACATTTGGAGTCGTAAAATAAAAGCCGGGTGATATAGTATTGGAGGATTTTCTCATATGTGAAGGAACTAACTGGTTAGGAGATAGTTGATAAAATGTTGGTTGAGGACTGCTGATGACAATGTAAGGGGGTACAGGCATTTGAGGTTGCATATGCGGACCATTTGTTATCAAATTTGCAGGGTTGAGAAAATTTGTTTCGTTATATTTCCCTTCCAGCTTCTGGTTTCTGAATTCTGTAATTCCATTTGCAGTAAAACCAAAACAGTTTTTTAATGTGGCATTTGCCCCTTTGGAGATAAGTAGAGTGAACGCCTCACAATTTTCCATAGCAGCTGCAAACATTAATGGTGAGATACCTAAAAGAGGTATTTAAAAATTAATTTTTATTTTGTAATTACTATATTTGTTTTAATCTATTCTGTTTTACTCTATTTATTTTTTTCACAGAAAAATGTTTGTTGGATACTTTTGGTTAATTTACTAGTTAGTTCCGTCATTGTATAAGTAAATACTTATACAATGGTTCCATTTATAGTACTCAACAATTATACTAACCTGTCAGTCGTGTAGTAGCATTCAAGTCAAAACTTTGTTCAATCAAATACCTTAGAATATGTTGATCGTTGAATAAAATTGCCATAGACAGGGGCGAAAACCATTTTTGCATACTCTGTCTTGAAACGCCTCCACAGAGAAGGTGTTGCAAAATCAAATGTACTATTTCTAATTTTCCACTACTTATGCTCACTAGGAACACAGACATACCTGCAAGTGCAAAGTGTTAAAAGGCACTACAATATTTATTATTACTTGGAATCTGCATCTAAATTGCAGAAAAATTTTTCACAAATTTAATTATTTTCATTTTCAAAATTAACACACAAAGTTATTTATATTTTCACACTTGTAGTATGAGGTTTACAAAAAATAAGAAAAAAATATATTCAAATGTTATTTTATGCTTTTCTCATGCTATATTTTGGACTCTTCAAATAATTAATTGTCGAAAAGTGTAGATATAGGTAACGTATAACTTTTTTAGACGTTCTATCGCAAATAGTAAGGGAGATAGCGTGAAGGGCATGTTATAAGAATAATGTATAATAATGTGTTAATTATCTAACAACAAATAATAATAATAATGAATTATGGTATTATTATGTATTTAAAAGGAACACATATATTTTCCTCTATTCAGAAATATCTGTGCCTGATATAATTCCAAAAATATATGGTTTACTGATATTCTTCAAAGTCGTTTTAGAGTAATCGGGAGTTATTGAATATACTTACAGAAGTTAGAATGTAATTTAAATAACTTAAACGATATTATAGCAAATAATTATTTAAGTAGGTCCTACCGCCTATTTACATTTTGAACGTAAATATTTCAAGGTGTTTAATTTAAAATAATGGAATATGTTACATAACACTATTATTAGTTATTAGATAATTAGATCTGTATTCTCCTTTTATTTGTTTATTTGCTTCCAAGATTTTATGGAAAATGGGATGTTTTTTGATTCAGGTTTAAAAATATAAATGGAAACCCTGTGCACAAATTAGGTATAAATATCTTTTTCATTTAGAATTGTTTTATATATTTATAGACTTACCATATTTATTCTTCTTTGTGGCATCAGCACGGTGGTTCAATAACAACTCTACAGCATTTAAATGTCCATTTCTACAAGCCATCATCAAAGGAGTCCAACCAAGATAATTTTCAGTATCAATTTTTTGTTCACTTTCTAAATCTTTCAACAATTCTTCTTTCCCAACAGCAGCTGAGTAGTGCAGCTTGGTATTTTTGTCATCATCAATAATTGTTGGGACAACCTTTTTTACAGGAGTTGTTTCATTGTTTTCAGTCATTTTCACTTAATAAGAAATTGATAGTAATAGTCAAGATGTGTGTCAGTATGAGTCTTTGCACACACTGCTGTAAATCTAAATATCTGATCATAATTTTTTTTGCAAATTTTTTACATTTTAATAAAAAAGTTAAATTTCATTTACCATTTACTCTCCTTCATTAACTGGTTGTGGATACATTATTATTTATTACTTTATTACATCACCAATTTCAAATACGTTCAAGGCATAAAAAACTTTTGAATGGAAATAAAAATCTCGAAAATTTAAAGTAATCATACCTAATTTACACATCGTGTTCATACTATATACTAATCAATCAACGTCACCAACAGATTCTATAATGAAAGAAAACTAAGAAGAGTAATTATTCAATGATTTATTTCCGGATTGGTATTGTCATTCCAAGCTCTCTGATGTTGAAAACAGATTGATTTTTGAAATTTCAAAATCTTACTGGAGTGCGAAATATTAGTTAGAGCATTTTTTATTTGTCTACTTCTTTCGATGTGTGAAATTTTTTATTTTTTTTTAAAAATAACCTTTAACTGATCCTTTCGGCACAAGGACTTCTTTCATAAATTTTTTTTTCACGTGATAAAATAAGTACCCAAATAAATAAAAATGAGATACATATGGCGTTGAAGTTGAAAAAATTAAAATTATTTTCCCCTATTTTTTTTTTAATTTAGCATACGAAAAACGAGTGACATGCAGTAATAAATAATGACATATTTTCGGTAAATAAATTTTTTAAATCTTGTAGGCGTATTCAATGGTAGTTCCAGGTAGACAACTAATTTTCGTAGAAGTTCTAATGTCTCATATCTGTCATCTAATTCTGTTTTTTGTCAAGTCTGAAATACAGTCACACCGTCCAGTCATCTCATTTCTTTTATTGTACTCAAATATAAATTATACAAAATTAAAAACAAAGTAAAACATTTTTAAACAGAGATTCAAAAGTCAGTGTTAAAAAAATAGAAACCATTCGACTTCGAAACACAAACATTTTTACTTGGCAAACAATGTATTTTTAAATTTATGTGAATGTTATAAATAGGTAAAGGTGGATGAAAAGAATTTTTATTTTAAAGTAGCGATTCCAGCTTATTTACCACTTGAACGAAAATAGTAAGTACTTGTGAGTATTATTTTTAATTTTGTTAAGGTCAAAATGTGCCCATTCAAAAATAATGCATTATTTCTCTTTATTATCGGTAAAGATGCAAATTAATTGATGATTGGGAATGTCTTTAGAAGAACAAAATGAAGTCAAGCACAAACTATATTCCTCAGACAAATCCCCATTGTTACGTACACTTTCAATCCCTGAAGGAATTCTGTATAGAAATGGTGAATACGTGAAAAGTAAAAACGTCTTTTCTGTTAATCATGCAAACTCTGCAGAATACACTCGTCCATCTTCATCACCCACATATAAATCAGTTAGAGATAAAAAGAAATCTTCAAACGAACAAAATTACTCGAATAAAGTATTTCTTTATGATTGCAAAAATGAGCAGCAGGATATAGCTGCTATGTCTGTGGGGAGTTTGTACCGAAGTGCGGAAGATTTGGAGTCAGATTTAGATACTGATAAGTGAGTATATTACCTAAAATTTATGTTGCACTTCAAATTATTCCAAATTCTCTCTTCTGATGATCTACTTTTCTGCAGTTATCTTCCTGGATTCTAGAACTTTGAATTGTTCGCAACATACAACACTAATTTTGAAATATATTTTATAATTATGGATGTTTCATAGGTGGAACCACCACTTTATTAATGTAATTATAAGTTATCAGTTGTCCCTTGTGAATAATGTGTTTTAACTAATTAAATTGAGCTGTGGAGTATACTCAAAATATAAAAACTGCCTTTGCTTTTAAAAGGACTGTCAAGTACTATAATGATGAAGGGAAGCATGAAATACCGATATTAATTAAAATATACAATTTTTAAGGGATTTTATGGACGGAACTCAGTCAAAACCAGAAATTGTGATAAAGCAAAATTCTTCCAGAAGTGAGTATTTCTTACCAAATAATATTGAGGCTCCATACCGAAAAGAATCTAGTCACATTGCAACTAAATGTGCAAAACCAAAGATATTTTTTATTGATGGGATAAGATCTGTTGATTTCGTATTAGTTTGGGATGCTTTTGGTGAACAATCAGTAACTCCAGAAGCATACGTCAAAAGACAAATTTTTGAAAATAATTTGTTGAAAGAAGGCCTTGAGATTGAATATGAAGCACAAGCACAAAATGGGCTTAATTTTATTAAGGTATACCTAATTATATTGTATATCTTGCAAAATTGTTTTTTAATAGCAATCTTGTAAAAGTGTTTTCTTTCCTCAAATTAATATTTTAGATTCATGCACCCCGAGAAGTGTTGAGAAGATATAGTGAAATTTTGAAATTGAGGATGCCTATGAGAGAGGTAAGTGTTTGGTATGAACTGGTTTTTAATATGAGTAAATGAATTTAAAAGAATTGGTATGCAAGATTATTAACAGTGAGATTCTGACGATGACCATTGTTATTTTTATATCGGATGTTTTTCGAGCCACATCATAAGGATTTTGGTTATCTTAAGAGATACAGCGTTGATCAAAATAGGCGGAATGCGGAATTTGACGACGAACAATTTTGGAGTTATTGGCAAAAAAATGAAAATTTTGTTAAGATAACTGAGATCCCCTTGATGTGACTTGAAAAAAGGGCACCCCATCTATTGAAAAACATTTCTGTTTAGGAATTATGTAGTAATCCAAAGGAATGCCAACAATCTAATGTGTTAAATAATATTAGTAAGAAGGTATTAATTATATACTAGCTCAGGGTTTTTACTAACAAGGGTTACAGTTTGTAATTTTTTTAATGATATACTAACCAACTTATGCCTTTTTTAAACTAGTAACAGACTCTAATGATATATTTTTTTAACTAATCTAAATATCTTGGTAATGGGTTTCTTCACTTGCCAGTTGCAAAATGTTCTTGGTCCAAATTCCCAGAATAATCAAATACATTAATACTACTGATTTTTTAGTAAGCTACAATTTCTAATAATGTAGATACCTTTTTATTTTTAGCAAGATGATAATGAGCTTATAATATGATTTTCACATAGGATTTCATAACAGTTGTTTGTATAGTCTAAAAAAAAGACCTACTTGCTGTCAGTGACACACTTATGTTTTCTTAGAAAATAAATAAATATTAGGTTATTCTGGAGAACAGGTACCATTTTGTCTTCTGTCGACAGTACCCTTTCCATACATACCCCATAGTAACGAACAGAGAATAACGATTGTGGAAAAACATTTTTTAATAATATAATTAGGTTTATTAAGAGAGAAGTCTTGGTAACTCATTTATGCTTCTGTATTAACTATATTCTCAAATATTTAAAAATATAAATTTTTATTATAATTGAAAAATTGTATTCCAATCCATTTCTCTCTTTATGCAAGTTAAAAATTTTTTTACGTTGAAGTATAGGAGTTGTAAATACTAGTAACCAAGAATTTCTCCTGAAGGTGAAAGAAAATTAGTAAATCGGTTAGAATTTATTGTAGATTCCAGCACTTAGACAGGTATCAACTCAGACAAATTTTCTAGTAGAAGGGATAAATAATCAGTGGGACAAAATAAAATCTTGGATTTTTGTAGATAAAAAGACGTTTCCTGATAAGGGACATCGATTCACTGCAATTTATAGCCGAGACAGGGAATACTTGTAAGGACTCTAGAATTTTAATGATATGTTACTTTTGATAAATCTCTTTTAGGTTTGATGTAAATTCTCCTTGTTTTTTTACATCAGCGATCCATTCAAGAATTATACAATTTATTTTAGATAGAAAGAAATTTAGTAATAACCCTCAGAGTGATTTTTCTTTTGGAATCGAAAGGTTGTTGGATGAAAAGGCGTACCTAGCTGGGTATCCACTTCACGATGTAAGTAATAATTAATGTCCATTGTGAAGACACTTCTTCATTTCACTTCTTTTGTTATGTTATTAATTTTTAGGGAGATCTGAAAATACCTGGTTCCACACGTAACTTACTTTATACAGAATGGGCATCCATTTGTAAATGGTACAGATATCAACCTCTCGATTGCGTGAAGGAATATTTTGGAGTGAAAATAGCCCTGTATTTCGCGTGGTTGGGTTATTATACACACATGCTGACACCCGCGGCACTGGTTGGTGTAGCTTGTTTTATTTATTCCTGTGCCACACTGTATAACAATCAACCCAGGTAAGTGAGTACATATTTTGTTACAGTAAACAAGTTTTCGGTCGACCTCATCATAAAATGTAGTTTCACAAATTTATTTCTTAATGAAAAGTGTCATCGTAAATATTTCACAGACTCAATAACTTCACATTCTTTATAACTGAACAGAATGAGTTACTGGTTGTGAAGTAATAATGGACGTGAAATAATTGAATCTGTGAAGTATTTGCACATGTAAAATAAGATGATGTCTAAAAAGTGATATTAAATTAAAGATATTGATTAACAAAGCAAAGTCAAATTGTTAAGAAGGCTGTATAGCAAACAGGCAACCAGCAATACATTTTTATATATTTTATTACACATATGAATCAATGCACAAATAGCAGACTTTCCTCCATTCTAACACAGATTTTCTATAAAATGGAGTTAGTTTGATACTCAAATTACTTTTTGTTGTAAAGAAATTTGTAATTTGCCACTTTTTAATGAGTGGCCTTGTAAATTACAAACTTCTTTACACCAAAAAGTAATTTGAGTTTCAAACTAAATCCATTTTATAGAAAATCTGCGGTAAAATGGGGGAAAGTCTGTTATTTGAGCATCAATTCATATTTAGACAAACTGTGTAATAAATTCTATAAAAATGTATTAGTGGCGGCCCATTTGCTATAGAGCCCTCTTAAGGTCGATGGAAAAATTTAATATATGCTTCAGCCAAAACCTGCATTTTTATGGCTTCGTCAAAAGCAGACTCTTACAATTTTTTGGCTTCAATGCATAAATATTTCAATCATTCAGTAAAACAATTTATAAATAATAGATTTCATGCAAAATCAATATGCGATTTAGTTACAGTATTTTATCTTGCCACTGAATGAATAATTTTATTCAAAGATTTTGAGACTTTATTCCTTTATTCAATACACATTTGAATGTATTACAAATCTTAATTTTATTCTTATAATCAAATGCGATTTTATGTAGTATAGAGATCAAATTTTATTATTTTTTTTTTAAATATGGTAGATATTAATCAGTGGCGACTTGCCAGGTGACGCAAGTGACGCATTATCTTATCTAAAATTTCCATTTGGAAGTGCATTTAAAATATTTTTTAATTTTATATAAATTTTATAATTTAGGTATAATTCTATATTGAAAATGTATTTGTTTGTTTTATACACTGAAATAAACAGAATAGTTGCGCGGTGAACATCTTCTAAAAAAACATTGCCTTCGTTGAACGCGAGCATTAACCTCGTACAGCAACAACAATGTATACAACGTGTAGCATAAGCAAGTGACGCGGATCGCAATCAATTTGTATTCCGCTTCACTTCATAGAGTTGTTTTTTTTTCTTTTTAGTCAATAATTACTTAATGAATATGCTTCACCTATTCTTTATGTCAAGAGCCGCCACTATTAATTAACATAAAAAAACTTCTTTCAACTCCATCAACCTAAAATAAAATTTTTGTTATTGGAGGTTAATGGAGTTCAAAGAAGTTCTATGTAAATATATTATATTTATAGAGTAAATTGTCAAAATGCAATGTATTAAAAATATATACGTATAACAGCATATAATACCAAATTGTTGGAATTTAAAACGAAACAACATAAAATACATCATTTAAATATTATGATTTATTTATTCTAAAATAAAAACCGCCAATAAAAAATATTATTTCTAAAATTGGATAAAAGAAAGTCCAAAACATAAAACTGGCTTATTTGGGCCATATGCTGTTGGCAAGCCGCCCAAGAGCATTGAATGTGTTAATAAGATGTAACTGAAATGTGTTTTTAAAGTTTACTTTTTATTGTCAATATAGTGAGGATATTTGTAACCAAAAAATTAAAGAGAAAATGTGTCCACTGTGTAATGTTTGGTGTGACTATTGGGATATAAAGGAATCTTGTGTACATGCTCGAATTACCTACCTCTTTGACAATGCTACGACAGTGTTTTTTGCTGTATTTATGTCTGTGTGGGGTAAGTTGTTCTCATGGTATTAAAATAGTATAATAGTTTTCTGCTTTTAAATGCTATTGCTGACAAAAATCACGAGTTGATTTATATTTATTTGACATAGATATTATGAATTAACTTCAAAAAAAATATTCGTTTGAAAGAGTAGATTGTACTATTAGAAAAATGTACCATTCTAGCTACATTGTTTCTGGAAATGTGGAAAAGGTATTCTGCGGAAATAACCCATCGCTGGGATTTAACAGGTTTTGATATACAAGAAGAACACCCGAGACCCCAGTATTTAGCCCGTCTTTCCCATGTGAAACGAAAACAGGTTAACGTTGTTACTAATACCATGGAACCTCATGTGCCTTTTTGGAGACTCCGTGTTCCGATGACAATTTTCAGTTTTTCAGTGGTTCTGTTATTAGTAAGTTGCATGAAAATGTAATACTGTCAGCTAAAAATTACTTTTTAGGTTACTTTAGCCTTAGCTACTGTAGTGGCAGTAGTTCTTTATAGGATGTCAATTTTGGTGTCTTTGAAAACTATTAATAAATCATCACCTATATTGGTCACCAACAGTTCAGCAATGTTAATTACAACTAGCACTGCCGCTTGTATCAATTTAGTTTTCATCCTCATATTTAATTATGTATGTGATTTAAGAAATTAATTTAAAATTTGAATATATTGTCGGATTTATTTTCAGATCTACACGTTTGTTGCGGAATACTTAACAGAATTTGAATTACTGAGGACACAAACAGAATTTGATGATTCTCTTACGTTAAAAATTTATTTGCTTCAGTTTGTTAATTACTATGCTTCAATTTTTTATATAGCATTTTTCAAGGGAAGATTCGTAGGATATCCAAAAGATTATAACACAATATTTGGATATCGCCAAGAAGAGGTACCTAATACAAATACATAAGTCCAAGTATAATTTATACATGATTTCAGTGTGGTCCGGGAGGTTGCTTAATGGAACTTTGCATTCAGTTGGGAATCATCATGGTCGGTAAACAAGCCATGAATACTGTGTTAGAAATGTTGTTTCCTTTGTTTTTTAAATGGTTGAACACTCTGAAAGTCAAAACTGGTTTGTCTAAGGATAAACTTTCTAATAAAGGTTATCGACCACAGTGGCTGAAGGACTACAAATTGGTGGAATGGGGACCGAGAAGTTTATTTCCTGAATACTTAGAAATGGGTAAGCAACTATAAGTAAGACAATATATACATAGGCACTGTACTAGATGATCCATAAGTAGTGGTGTAACACTTAACTGTCGATAGTAGGAATCAAAATATTAATATTTGGAGCGTTAGTTGCAGCGCATGCCCACTTTGAAACTGCAGTAAGCGTTGTTGGCAAATCTCATAATTTACAGGAAAGATTGTTAAAAGCAAATTTCCATACCAACCGCCATGAACCGCCTCTTTGTAGTGTTATTTTTATTGAATGGGTGTTTGCCATGAGCGCTATCATCTCACATAAACAAAAATTGATTTGTTTTTAAATAAGATTAACTGTAAAACGGCGCCCAACAAGTAATCCCAAAAACTCAAACAGTAATAAATAAATCAAATATACAGAAATAAGTAAATCTGTTTACTCAGCTGATTTTTACGACATATGACATACTTGAAATTTTGTAGCGCTCATACCAGGATCCTCTTGGAATTTAAGATTTTGGGTTAAAGTACTCACTCTCCAAATTTGTTCACATCCAACATTAGCATTGTCGTTGAAAGCTTCCTGTGATCTCTTATGGAGGTTCGATAGATCTCTTGCGGGGCAGGTGGTACGGGAGGGAAGCCTATGCTTATAAATTGGAGTTTTGTTGCAGTACCAATATTACATAAACTAATTTGATGGAACTAGATATGATATATGCGAATGAAATTTATGCAACACATATTAGCTCACATATATTTTGCGTGTTTAATGCACAGCAATTAACTTTTTATTTATATAAAAGTGTCTATGTATTCATTAAGAGCTTGTAACACTATGGGTGAAATCTGGCAACATTGCACATCAGTATGGCATGGTGGTAAGAGTTAGGTCGACTATCAACTGTTCTTAGCGGGTATACCATAAACATGAATGAACATCCAAGATACAAAGGAAAAGTAATGACTAAAAAGCAATATAAAAGGCATATGAAACAGATAAGATGTGGATTGATGAGAAAAAAATAAAATGTGCAAACTGGGAATCCCTATGATGACTATCAAGAAGCTCGGAGTATGGTAGTGAGACGTCGCGTCGCCTTGTCGAATTGAAGGTTATGACAGAACATCTATCTGTTCATTTTGCAAAGAGATTCTTTTAATTTTTGTTTCAAATTGCTATTATATTGCATTAGATCACAACAAATTTATTTAATAGATGTTATTGCTGTATATATTTTTGACTGGAATAATTTTATAGTAATCGAGCTACTCAAATATAGCGCGTCAGTTGAGGCGTTAAATACAGTGTACAGCGTTGCCATATTTAAATTCAATCTCAATAATTACATTGTAAGTGCATATTTTTATTGTTTTAAAATGTTTAGTAAAATTTAATTCTTTAATTAAAATTTTATATTCCCGATCCTAACCATTTTTAAGAGCAATATTCACGTTTGATGAAAGTTTTTTTGCAACTTCCTTAAAAGACTGTGTATAAGAGCATAATTTTTAATATCATTTTTCAAAAAAACTACGTTGGCAATCGATCTGATATTTTTGCATGAGCCAGTTTGCATATTTATTAACAGATTTTAATTGCTTTGAAAACGTTCTTACCATTTTTTTTTGGTATCGAACCTCCTTAATTGTTGAACCAATCTTACAAACATTTTCTTATTTTATTTGATTAAAAAAAAATTCAGATTCGAATTCAGGAGAAGACATACTATAACCCCTAAAAACTGATCCTCACTTAAAGTTACACCCTGTATATATATTTTTGACAAACTGTTAAAAATATTTGCATGAAAATTTTGATTTTCACTTTTCTCAAAACAAATTGAATTTAGAGATTCAAAAAACTATACTTTTCTATTAAGAAAATGCAGCAAATTCTACTGTAAAGTTGCAGGTAAAATATCTAGTGCACTCTAGGAGTTAGATCAGAGTTAAAGATGTAACATAAATTTCTTCACCAAACAACCTTCAACCATCAACGTTCACAAGAGAATATTTAAAAAAAACAAAAAAATATATTTTTCTTTGACACCCTGTATCCATTTTACTATCAATATTTTATTAAGGCATGATTAACTATTCACAGTTAAATGTTTAATTACTTACGAATGACCCTATTAAACTGTTTTTAAAATTATTCCATGGTGTGTCTTTGCAAAGAGACATATGTGTTCCATACGTTTTCTCTGTTATTACCCTCTGATTAATATCTTTTATTCATCCATTTAATCTTTTTCTTTCAGTTCTACAATATGGTTTCGTTACCATATTTGTAGCTGCATTTCCATTGGCTCCATTTTTTGCCTTATTGAACAATATTCTAGAAATGAGATTGGATGCGAAGAAATTGCTAACTTTTTATAGGAGACCAGTCTCTCAGAGAGTTAAAGATATTGGTGTATGGTATAGGATATTAGATTCCATAGGAAAGCTTTCTGTAGTTACTAACGTAAGGTATATTTGCGTTTATTATATCAGTCATTTTTATATATTTAATTTCAGGGTTTTATTATAGCCTTCACCTCAGAATTTATCCCTAAATTAGTTTACTTGAGTCAGCACCATACTTTAGATAATTATTTGAACTATTCGTTGTCATACTTTAAGACAGATGATTTTCATAATGATTCCAAACCTCAAAATTCATATGAAGAAATTTGCAGGTAAGGTCATTCACAAAAAATTGCCTGGAAAGATGCACGTTACTGTTCAATTTATTTTCTTGTGATTTAGATATCCGGATTATAGAGAACCCCCCGATACTCCTAATGAATATGCCAGAACGTCAATGTACTGGCAGATTTTAGCAGCAAGATTAACGTTTGTGGTTATTTTTGAAAATATTGTCGTTTTTGTGATGATAGTTGTGAAGTGGTGTATTCCGGACGTACCTGGAGAACTCCGTGACCAAATTAGACGCGAGAATTATGTTACAAATGAAATAATAATCAAGCAGGAAACAATAAGGGCACAAAATGGACATTTGTGTAAGTATAAACAATTAATCATAAATTTCTCATGTATATAACGTGTACAAGATAAGGATGTCTATAATGAGGATATCGACAGTGGAACGAAGTAAAGAGTGAAAGATTCAGAGTGATCGAAATTATAAAAAGTTGAAAATTCTCCAAACAAATCTTTTTATTATTTTTTTTCATCTAGCGGACTATTAAAGCAAAAAAAGAGGGAAAGGTTTCTCACCAACAAATATTTTTTTTAAATACGGCGCCCTGTCTTTAAAACGCACATTTCTAAAGCAATTTTAATTCTGCGTTTACTGATGTGTCACTTGTGATTTAATTACATTTCGTGTATTTTTCTCTCTCCTTTCCTTTATTTAATAAAAGATGTCATTGAACTTCTCCTAAGGTCAAAGAAAACTCAAGTTATTCCGGTTATTTTATTACCTAATGACCAACAATTCTTCTAATTACCTTTTATTTTTTTTTCTTTTCTACTTTTGTAATTTAAGGGCCCTAGCTTCTAAATAAATTAATAAGTATAATAAATAAATAATATTTTTGTTTTATGTACTGTATCTACGTAAATTCTTGTTACAAGTCTTAACGATACAAGACGTTTATTTAATTTTGAGCTTTTTGAAGACGTTTATTTAATTTCGAGCTTTTTGTGGCCTGAGAAAGATTAATTCTACTAATTAGGTTATATTAACATTTTCAAAAAATTTTTGTTGGTTGAAATGTATCTGAAATATAACTAATGCAGTTCGGCAATTGCGTACGCTGTCATGTCAAGAAATTTAAAAATAATTTCACTGTGTGAAAGGTGAGCTTATCATTTGTGTATCTGTATCATTAAAATGGCTTCTGAAGTAGTCTTCTTCAAACACGTTTGATTATTTTGTTTTATTACTATTCATATCTGTATTTTCATTAACAGTCATCCACATTTTTATTGCACTAAAGTTTAACAATAAATACTTTCAGTTTTCTTCTTTTATACAATGTATGAGGATCTACAATCATCGACTTTGGGGAAATTCATTATCGATTATATGCAATGAAATATTATAAACCTTGAACATAAAAACTAGGTCCCTGATTTTTTTTCTGCATTTGTCTCTCGATATGCCCTTTTAAAGTGATAAGATTTCAGCTTAACAAAATCGTTCCATCACAGTGTAAATCAAATTTGAAAGGTATCACTTGGTTGTTGAGACATTTTAAAAATTCTTTAGATGGAAATATGTTAAATGAAACTATTTACAGTGCTACTGAAGAAGGATACAGGTTCTTTCTCGACCTTATCTTTTCTCTCCCACACACTGAACTGTTAAGTTCTAGTAATTAAACTGCCACAAACATCAATGACTACAGAATTAAGACAGCTTTTTATTTTAACCTTAATAATAGTTCCAGGAAAAAGTTAAATGGAAAATGTAAAAAATATATTTGACGTCAGTTTCAATGGCCCCCTAATAGTGCAATATCAAATTTGAGACACCTTGCGTCTTATCATTTTGAAATTCTGCATGATAATCCCTACATTCCCTGAATCATCCTTGATCGTCCCTTGAAAGGTATACAAAAAAATTCATTTCCGGGTCTGTTAATTCGAAAAGAAATGAGCAGCTAAATATAACAAAAATAAATTATCCCATATTATAGATGCATCACCTAAGAAAATTGAAAAGATCCGGAATATAAATGAAGCACCTGCTAGCCCGGAGCAATGGGATCGACTGATTAGTAAGTCTTTGTCAGGCAGTGAATTTGATTTGTTAGTTCATCATAAAGAACACGAAAATTCCGGACCCTCTGGAGTGCAATCTCCTTCATCTGTATGATTTTAAGTTCCTAAACCTAGTCTTCGTACATATTTTTGTACTACAAGTGCAATAACCAGTGTACTTAGTTTTATTGATTATTTTTCTGACGGATTGTTGTTGGTGTTATACAGAGATATACAGAGCGTTCATAAATTATTACAAGCCAAAAATTCTTAAATCTTAGCGTCATCAATATTAATGGTTCGTTTACAATGAACAATGGCAATCCGTTATGTCTACGTCGAAGATAATGCGATCGCTGATTTGTTGCATAAAATCTCGTGAAAAACTACACCAATGATCAGCCGGTGAATCAGAATATTGTGTTTTAATGTAATCTTGATAGTTTTAATTTTATCGAAATATAATTGCCATCGTGGAGGAAATAAAACTACTATTCCAAACAAAATTACTGGTCAAATGGCTTGTAGTCATTTATGAGGGCTTTTTATATGTATATCTAGTTTTTATTTATATTTGTTGATAAATTTAGTCGATTATATTTATATATAAATGATTTAAACATTCGAAGCAGAATTTTTGCAAAGTAAAAGTTTTTAAGTTAAACTCTTGTTTCATATGAAGCACAGATTTTTGAGCGAAATAAATCGGATTTTCCTTAAAATATTCTTTAAACACGTCTTCAAGATATAGGATGTTAAAATTATGATTTAAAAAAACGGTTTTTATTAATAACTCGTGGACTTTATCCTCTCCTGGCACCTATTGTGTAAATTTTATAAAAAAAATCAAAGTGTTAAGGGAACAAAAGTGGGTTGTGATAATTTTTTTGTACATTCCTATGATTATTATATTTTCAACTAGGTATTTCTAGTTACTTTTTCACTTTTAAAATTTTGATTTTGGGCGTAGTTTGCGAGACATTACAACTTGCTTGAATATGGACCCATTTGCTGGTGTTTTAATTTCTTTTCTCTTAAATCAATGAAATGAGATTTACAAAAACATCCTGGGGGTTTCTTATTAATGGCTAACAGCCAAATTAGTTTTGCAATTAGGGGTTTTAAAAAGTTTTTTTTTTTATATATTTGTCTAGCATAAAATTAGTGGTTTCAGTTTGATGATTATAAAAATGAATTTCAGAAATCTAAAATTATAAATTTTCCAGCATATTTTCTCTCATCCGAATGTGTATTTGTGAAGGAACTTTCAATTTATTCAATGGTCTTTTCCGTTTGTGTTATTTTCTGAGTTCCAGTTTTAAAATCGTAAGTTTTAAATTAATTTAATTTTTTAAATGATCTGTATTAAATAATTAAGTAAATTAAGAGAACATTTAACCAAAACTCTTGCCGAAGTTGATATTTCAAAATACATCATTGTTTTTAAAATCATACCAAGCTTTAAGTTAAGCTGTAAACAAAAATATTCTGAGCACATAACCCACGAAGTTACAATATCTTAAAAATTAAACCCTAAATCAAAATTTTGCAAAAATGAAATGAAAAAAAAATAAATGAACGTTTGGCAAAAATAACTTGAGTGTAAATGGCTACTGCAATCTCCTTTCTCCCGTTTGCCCTTTTGACCAAAACGACGCAAAAAGTAAGTCAGCATAAAATACAGGTCTGTTGAATATTTAAAAAGATAGTGAGTTATTAGTAAAAATATTTTTAAATTTAGGTTTGATACCTTGTATCTTGAACATGAGGTGCCATTATAAAAAATTACATAAGGCAAGTCCTAATTATTATCAGCCAAATATGTGGTTCACAGCTTGACCTACATTTTTGTAGCATCTTGTGTGATGCTTTTTGTTGTAATTAAATTACCGATTTATTTAGTTACAAAGCAGTTACAGTTGTAATGGAAATTTTATTAACCTGTTTCAAATGTTCTAATTTGTGATATCATATTTAACTTGCTTTAGCGTTTTACCTTTTTGTGTAATAGCAGTTTGAATAATGTAAAAAATATTCTCACTATCTTGAACTAAGTCGGAATTGAAGTAGAATGTAAAAATCTGAAAATATGAAAGGCTCGTAATTCATCTTAAACTTGTGGCTTTTAATGGGGAAAAGTAAAATTCTCAGTAAGGCAAACTATATAAATCTGAAATTATATTAGATTACATATTTTTAAGATGTATAAAGTACATTTTCATGTGTTTGTGAATTATGGACGTTATGTACATCTTTTTCTATTAAAAAAAAAAATAGTACAACAAATATAAATATTATATTTCTCGAATATATCAGTTACTAATACTAAAAAACAAAGATCCTTCTGCCCATCTAGATTTAAGTAGACTTACGCTTAGATAAATACATGATATTTATATTTGTTGTGCTAGCAAATCCGCATCTTTTAATTTTTCGTTATGTATGTCAATATTCTTTATACTTTTTAAATAATTTTCTAAGAAAGTGAAGTAGGTTTCCTTTTTTTTTTTTCAATTACTGAGAGGCTAGCTGATCATGTGATAACCAAATCGAAATATATATTTTATATTAATTCATACAAGTTATACGTTACCAACCATTGATATTCTATTTACTGACTTAAGTTTAGTGAAAATGGACAACATTGGACAGAAAAAGATTTCTGACCTAACACATTTAGAGGATTTCAGGAATGAAACTAATAGTACTTTTTTATCTAATTGAATATGTGTATGTGCCACCCATATATGAAAAGAAAATTAAATTTTAAATAACTAACACCTACCAGAAGGAATCAGAAAATTAAATTAAATTATTTGAGCTCACTATAAAAATGCCACAAATAAGTAATTACAGACAATATCATAAAACCTGGTGTTACAAAGATTACAAGCAGTTTAGGTCAGAAAATGTTTGTTGTCCACGGCTGTACATGTCATCACTAATGATTCGTTAGCCATTATTATAAGGCTTATTATTTACATAATTTTTTATTTGATGATGATGATAGTACATGGGCTTTATTTTGATATAATAAAATTATAATATGTATAATACTTCCTGGTTTATACAAACTTGGAGAGGATATTTGAAGAATAAATAAATTGAGGTACAAAAACTCGATTCGCCGAAATATTTTATACAAATTGATACAATGAATACCTTTTTGGAACCGCTGACTTTACCAATAGATCTGTTTTGTTTACAAGTGTTGGTGCATGCCTCTGGAAATTGTTACACACAAAATGTGCAGTTAACTCTGTTTTTATCAGCGTTTCCATACATTATCACCATGTTAATTCATTTTTCAATTTAATTTTTATGCAATTTATGACCACAAATATTCATCTCTTTTTATGTAATATGTAAAACCCCATTCACAATCAATTCGCGGGCGAAGTCTGACTTGGCCACGCGTGCTTACCTTTCGCATTTCAATGTAACCATTCAGGATAAAATCTCGAGCTGGCAAACGAGTTGAAGTGCGCGTGAAACCTCGCAAGCTGCAAACTTTGACGTCCGTGCCGACTTCCGTGCCGGTTACGGGATATGCGCAATATGATTGTTTTAATAAAATGTCAACATAATTTTAATTTGATGGAATTTTAAAATTAGTTTAACCATTATGTTGATTAACCACAATGGAAGAAAGGGAAACTGATTATCCCCTCTTTTACAGGTAACAATGCTGTTGTTGTTACTTAAAAAGACAGCTATTATAGCAATTCGAGCAAAAAAAACTCCATTAAAAGGTCTTGGGGGAGTAAGACCAATTCTAACGGCCCGTAGAAATCATGAATTTTATGAAAATGTTCTTCGGGAGCAGCTTGGAATTGGCTCATTTTAATTATTATTATGGATTATTATTGTACATTTTAATTTAAAATTTTGAAAACAAACAAAATATAAATATAACCTAAAGTATACAGCTAAAACAGCTGATTTAAGTTGAAGCCAACGCGCATGTACCAAGTGTCGCCTGAATTTTATTCTGAATGGTCAAATCCGTGCAGACTTTTGTGCCGAAGTGTAAGTTGGCTAGCAAATTGATTCTGAATGCACCTTAACTCGAGGAATTTTCCAGAGATTCTCAATAAGTTTTAACAATTTTAATTCAGTATTTTGATTATTGAAAATGTTTGTTATTATTGAGTTCTATCTACCATTAACAGATCCTCTCCAAGTTTGTAAACACCCTATATATCTCATATATCTTTGTGCTAAACTGTACATTGAAAGTATACTGCCACATGATACAATTCTTTACTAAGTGCTCCAATTAAAATTATGTACTTGTGCAGTTGTACAGGGTGATCAAATTTCTCAATGTGTCTTATATACGCATCATAAAAGGTTGTAGATAGACAGACATTTTTTAAAATGAACACGGCAAATATTGTTGATTGCAAATATGTCTCTTCATCACTATGTTGTGCATTGTTCTTCCTACCACACCACACCATGTTTATTGTTACTCTGCAAGCGTTTCCTACATGTAGGTAGCAGTATCCTCTCTACAACCTTTCTGGCACTTATATGGAGCCTTCATAAATAATTACAAGCCATGTGACCGCTAAGCTTAGGCAACTCGACTTTAACATTATTAATATTGATTCGTTTACAATAAACAATGACAAACCGTTGTGTCTACACTCGAGATAATGCGGTCGCTTATTTGTTGAATAAAATCTCGTGAAAAATTATACCATCACTAAGCAGTGAAACATAATGTTGTGTTTTAATGTATTATTGATCTTATTGTTTTAATTTTACCGAAATTTAATTGACATGAAGGAAATAAAATGACTAGTCATGTGGCTTGTAATCATTTATGAATGCTGTGTACAAGGTACGTTTGAAAACCGATATTTACTTTGAGTCACCCGTGCATATATTTAATTCTTTTATCTGTGATATTTTGCATACAGGATATTAAAGAGATATGTTCAGAGCCTCAACAGCTTGTGACTAACTTTATTTTACAAAATTTAAAGCTTTACTACTACCTAAATTGGGGCAATATATAAGGTATATTTAGAAGAAATGGCTATTTGAAAAGTGATATAACGTGATATTTGCGAAAATTGTCCCGGTTTAGATTACTTGGTTCAGTTTTCATTAACACCTTTATATAGTTATAGATAATGAACTGAATTTTGTTAGTAATTTTCTGTGATTTATTTGCTGTTGCTAACTTATTTAAAAATATTTATTGCCTTAATTCTTAAAGACTGTATTATATTTATCAAGCTATATTCAATACGTTTTCATTTGCGTAATGGCATAATTGCGATTGAATCTAATTTGATCAATACTCTTGTTGATTTAGAGTTTGAACGTGAAAAAATTATTAGTAGACATTTTATTGCATATGATAGGGAAGGGCATGTAAAATGATAACATCAAGTGACGCTAACTTGGAAAATAAGTGGCAAATTTACGTGTTTTTTTCACTTTTTCTTACTGGTCACGAAAATGTGGACGACCTATCGGAAAATTTGTCATTTTATGTTGTAGGCAAATTACCTACAGTTTAAGGTATTTAAAGTCATATTTTACCAAAATGCCAACTGTAAAATAAACACGGAGAAATAAGTTTTCGAAAATTGCGCATTATTACTGCAAAAAGCGGTGGATGTTGATGAAATTTATGGAAAAGACGGTCAATGCAATGACCAACATGTGTGCCAAAGGCCGATTTGATTGACTATGAATGAAATTGTTGCTCCAGATATTTGTTAATAAATTAATTACGTTTGATTTCTTGCAAGTAATTGTTTAATTACTAAACGTTAATTTTAGAAAAGTTTCAAAAAGTTGAAATTAAGTAGCCCTTTACAACTAACAAAGTAGGACCTGTAAGACAGCGTTATAAACAAATTGTCCCAGGGTCAGGCAAAAGCCGCTCGGGAATTCACTCTTTGCATTAAATAGAACTTATTTTTATGGTAATTTAACAAAAAAGGGAAATTACTTACCTCTCTTTGTTCCCAAGATAGCTTTTTTGTATAACATTAATTTTTAATTAACTACTGGACGTAACAGACCGGGATTTTAGAGACAATTAAAAAAAGGGTAAAACTTTTATTTTCGGAAAGTTTTACATTGATAGTTCATGTAGTAAATGTGCTAGCAGCAGTTTAGTTAAGTTGTTAATTAATGACCTGCACGCGGGAGCGCCGGGCCCGCGCACGCGCGTGAACACCGCTCTCGTCAAACGCGAGTATTTTTACTTGAACGTTTCAAATTCGGTTCAGGCAGGTGAAAAAACACGTAAATTTTGCCTTATTTGCAATTTGCCAACTTTGGAGTTACTTTTTTCATTTTTTCAAGTTTTCAGATTTTATGATCTAATTTTATTGGAGTACAAATGCCAACTTTATTCAAAAACTACTCATTTTATAGCAACGCAAAAGAAACGATTGAATATGGCTTTAAATTTAGAAAATTGTATGTAAAATGTCATTTTCATGAAGTTATCGATATTAAGACTTGATATTTCTAACAATTTAATAAAACCTAGGTATCAATTTTAGGTGGGGGCAAAATATTTGCATGTATTTTTATAAATTGTAATAACAGGTAAATATACATTTAAAAATTTTGTTTTTTTTTATAATTGTGGTTGATACCTTGAGATTTTGAGAGAATACATTTTTTTTTTCTTAAAAAAGGGATATAAAGAACCGACAAAACAAATGGAATGGAATAATTTATTAAAAAAAATTTCTTAGTGGAAAAAGAAGCTAGTATTTCCTATATCACTGCTACTTTTTAATACTTTATTAAGTTGTTACTGATTGCACTTATAATATATTGACTCATATTTATTGTAGTAGCCGTTATACATCACACATAAAATAACACAGACAAGGTGCGGTGTCAAAAATATAATACAAAACAATACAATTTTGTGGGGGTATCACAAAATGGGTTAAATATATACACACAATTACTGCCTGTTAACGGCTTGTAGAATACGCAGAATATACAAGAACAAGTTAACGATATCCATATACAAATTAATTGTTGCCAAGATATATTCTTCGGGGGACAAAGTTTTCATAATAAGTTGAGTGTCGAAAATGATGAAAAGCGAAAATACCAAGGCACCACTGAAACCAATTGCTATCTCGAAAATGGTGGATTGTAAGAACACTTGCATAAATCCTCCTATTATCAATATACAGAGACCAGCGAATAATCTAAAAAGTAAATTTGAAAATAGTAACATTGCAGTCGTGAAATGTTTTCATTTGATTTATTAACGTATAAATACTCACGCAGAATGTATGGCAGAGAAATCACGCTTGGTTTGAAAGGTGTATAACGTCAACCCTGCCAGTACTACGAATGTTAGCAGCAGTGCTTGTAAGACGACAGCTTGCGAGTAGAATGTAACGATTACCCCTATAGTGTAAGCCTGAACAATGGTCTGAAAAAAGTTTTAATTGGTACATTTTTAAACACAAAACTGACAAAATATTTGTCGTCAGATGTGGAAAGAAGACTTTTTTACATAATTACATTATCATTACATTTTCATGTGTTAAAGATTATAAACTGAATTTGAATACTCTCAGCACTGAAACATTAAACACGGGACACAATGTGTAAAAAATGAGGAAACGTTTTTCTTATTTAAATTGAATTTCATTCAATATTTTTTTACGTAAACACTTGCTCTCTTTAAACTTTCATTTTTGATATACAGTGCTTCAATTAAGAAAAAACAAACAACTAAACATCTGAAAAAATTAAGATATTGAAATAAAATTAAGTGTGAAAAAATTAAATTTTAATTGAAAACCAGTGACAGATATGTTGAGGATATCCTAAAAAATTGCTAGTCTAGCACATCTAGGAAAAACAGTTATTTTGAAATACAAATTTTATTCTGAACAAAAGTGATTTCTTCGCCATTTTATATATCTTTTATCGTTTTGGTTTGATTTCTAAAGATGACACGCTAAGATAAATGTAAAATTTATTTAAATGATTTTACAAGAGGTGCTCCAAATGGCATCACCAGACCTTAATACATTTTTCAATACGTCTTTTCATATATTCTCCTTATATTTATATATTATAAAGTGGTTGTTATGTGTAGATAATAATCTACAGATAAGTTTTCATGTTTGTTCTTATATTTTGTGCAGTTTCTATTATATTTTATGAATACAATGTCCTGGCCCATGTAAATCATGTACAGTGATTATTACTACACGCTAAATAATAGAATGCAGTAACAATGACAATTTTCCTAAAGCTAACTTATAAATACTAAAAATTATGTTTTATAGTAAAAGTGTTTAAATATTTACAAACAAACTGTATGCGAATCGGCAAAAAATCAGCAAATGTTTTTTTGTACGCGGGAGCGCAAATGGCTGATGGATGACAGATGGAGCCATTTGCACTCCCGCGTACAATGTATTTCCTTTTCGTGATGATACGACGAAAAATAGCTGGGTCGGTTGTCACACCTATGACACGCCGATGAGGACTAATAAGTCCGAAACCGGTCTGTGCCTGGTGGGTAAACTGACAAACGATCCTAGCTGTTGCACTAGGTGTTACGAGTATAATTCAACGCTGGTAGGAGCATATAGCTCCCGGAGTAGTTGTTTCTCGTAACACTGACAACTCAAATGTTTTTTTGTTTAAACGAATATATTTTTCACAAAAAAATTACATGAAAAAATTTAAATAATTTTGATTTTTAATTAATAAATACTCCAACTTAAAACAATGCTCTCCAAGAATATTTATGTGTAAATTTCCACCAAATAACTTTTTTTCAAACTTCACACTCACTTTTCATTTTTTTGAAAACATTGACACTGTATCTCCAAAACAAAAAGGATTCAAGGGCAGATGTTTATATAAAAAAATATTCTTAATCTGGAAGAGGTAAACACTTCTTCATTTTTGATATATTGTTATGTTATACCCCGTATTTATTAAAAACAAGCACATTACTTTACAAATTACTGATGCCATAAATATCATTTTGTTTAAATTTTGTATGAAATTAAATTATTACTGTTTATTAATAAATCACTTATGTAATTGCGTACTATACCTATTACTTATTCTTAAAGATTATACTTACAAATGCGGCAAGAAGTATTAGATTCGTAGGCGATTCCCTTCTTTTAATGTGCAAAGCAAGTAATAATGCGATACTACCAAGGAAAGTGGGCATCAAGATCCAATCACTGAAAAAAGTGGCAAAGTTACCATTTTTTTAATTACTAATTGTATTTTTCCATTACATTAGCACTACATGGTACATTTTACAATCATTTTAGATAACATTTCAATGACTATTTTATAAATAAGAAACTTATTCTGGTCTGTAAACCCTTCACAGTAATATTTGACTTAATTTGCTGACTCCGTTTTGCCTCAAAAACCAAGTAGTGTTTATGACACTATCACAACAATATTGTACAAAACTATGACTTGCCACTTAGCAACCACAAAAAACGTGCATGAAATAATTCAACAATACGAGCGAGGGAAATTGATGAAAAAAATTGCTAGCAAAGTGAATCCACCAATGGAAATATAATTAAAACATCAAAAAACAGAGTAGATGTGGATAGAGTTCTGTTTGACTTCCATTGATGAAAAGCAAGGGATACTGTGAGACATTGCAGCGGTGTAGAACCAAGAAACAGATGAAGTATCGAGGGAATGTTGTCAGTGGATACACAACTCTGGTTATGGCTTTTAAAAGATAAAGTAGCCTTAGAGGCAATAATTATTAACTTTGAAAACTAAATAAAGATTATGTTTAACATGTTAATTTTTGTAAGTGTGTGATACGAATGGCAAGAGAAACCTTCCCCAAGGGGTACTTAAAACGTACAGTAAAATATTCAGTGTCATGATCTGGAGGTGCATACCATCAAAGGGGCTACAAAGACTAGAATTCATTAATACTACCGATAATGCAGGGAAAAATCCAGAAGATTTAGGAATTTTTCACTCCAGAGTTTTGTAGATCCTTGGCTGACGGTATGTTATAAAGGCTAAGTCAGATATTACATATTAATAAATCATAAACAAACTTCTGGTTTTTAAACATTTATATATCATTAATTATTTCCTGAGTAATGAACTTGTAGCAACCGTTATTTGTATAGACAAGGTGAATTTGGAAAACTTTATTTAAAAATTGCATCAAATTTATAACGAAGTGGTGTCCGAGCATTTAATTACGTTTTAACCCAGTAAGTGAATAGTCTAAACCAAAAGTGATCTATACATAATAAAAATAAATATAGCCCACATATTATTTGATACTGATAAATAGATATTCATCAAATTATTTTAGTATCACTTCATATTAATTTTCCTACTGGAAGGTTTCTAAATAATCCAAATACATTTATTTGTCCTTAATAAATAATTCTTTAAGTGAGGTGCCAAAAAAATTCTTATTGTAACAGTTAAAATAGTTTCTTTTCTATTTCACTATTTACCAAATATATTTATTTCATTTGTAAATAATTATACTGGCTACATTTACATTTGGATAATTTAAGTCTTTAATTTTGGTCACATATCTTTATTTTATTACATGTATTATAAATTGTAACATTAAGACCAGGACAATGCAACTGTTATCAATATTGCTGGGATTAAAATTAACTGTATGTTGATAAGATCAACTTAAAGTACTGTACTGAATGAACTGTTCGACATTACCAATGAAATACAACATTAACATAAATGAATTATAAATTTCAACTATTATTATGTACATGAAATATTGCACCATAACAAAACTGAAACAGAAGATGCACACACATTCTACACTCTATGTAAAACCTTGTAACTCTGAAAAATTTGTTTTTTAGATTTTGTACCTGCTGAACTTGTTTTAAATTTCATGCCACATCTGTTTGCAAAACCATAAGTATATATAGATTATAATTAATTGGTTTTGCCGTTATAACATAAAATTAAAAATGTGTAAGTTCTATGTTACCTAGTCTTAAAAATGTGTAAATTATTGGTTTGTATACAAGACCACTAGACTGTTAAAGTTTACATTGATTTAAAGTTGTATATTGCCTTACACAGTTTCAAATTTGAATCAAAACTTAAGACACACATTTGTTTTTTAAATGTTTGTACCCTCTCCTGTAAAATGGGCTAGATTGATACGGTTTGTTATCATTCCCAACAAATATATAATGTATTCCTGATTGACCTTCGGGAATTTTCTTTGAATAACTAAATTAAAATACTTTTGAGATACATAAAAGTGTTTCCTTACTTTGAATGTACAAAATCCTTTATGGGGGGAGTAAACATACATATGCTAGCAATAACGATGGTTAGAAATATTTGCATTGTAAGGAGTCCATAAACTTTCCGAATAAATGCCATGCGAATGGACTTCGTTGCTTGTGCTACATTATTACGATATGCAAAATCATTTTCAATGTCCTCATCATATTCTTTGCCGCCCTGTTCCACATCTTCCTCTAAGATAAGAGGGATTGTTTGGGACATCTTGTAGTTTTATATTTTGTAGTGTTTTATACCTACAACAAATATGCTTATAAATATTGTTAATATCTGTTGACGTGTCAAAAAAATATTTTTACCAATACTACCTTTAATGTATTAAACGTTAAATATAAAAATATATCGATTATTGCATTTTACAATAGTATTGAATAAGTGAAAATTAAAAAAGAAATAATACCTATTTGTACAGAAATGTCACCTGATTCCTGATTAACAACAAAACAGTAACACAGAACACAGAAAAAAACAGCACTGTCACTGAATACGAAATAAAGACGAACACCAAAGAAAGAATTATAGAATTAAAAAACAATAATAGATCATACAGCATCAGTTCACTTGTACTGCTGATTTAATGTGATCTAATCAACATTCTTTGTGTGAGAACTGTACATACGAATGTTTACATGATTTTTTTAACGATTCAAACCGTATCTAAGGCCTGTGTCAAATTATTAAATTTTCCTCAAATCTGTTTTGTCAATACATTTTGAATACGTTCTAGACCTTCTGAACGTTTGTGCGGATTATACCGTATTGCGCATAACCTTTATACCAAGTCAACCATATTAAATGCGGGTATATTTATTCTTTTTTTTTGGACCTATGAGTATCACCCTTGAGCATATACTACACAGTATACAGGGTCGGAAAGTCCCCATGGTTCATCGGCCGTTACGTGAGAGCGATAAAGGAAATCATAGAAATCCGTGCGATAGAGAAAGATGACTATAATGAAGGCGTCTAATAGTCACCGCCCATCTCGCCCTTCCACAAATAAGATCCACTTCTTATTTGTGGAAGGGCGAAATGGGCGGTGACTATTAGACGCCTTCATTATAGCCATCTTTCTCTATCGCACCGATTTCTGTGACTTACTTTATCGCTCTCACCTAACGGCCGATGAACCATGGGGACTTTCCGACCCTGTATATGCTCTAAGGTATCACCAAATTTCTGAAAGAAATTGTTTGCTACCACCTTTATATGCAAAATGTATAATAATAACAACTATATACTACTTGGTTTGAATTAAGATAAGAGATGAGGTGTACAGAAAATTGTTATCTGTGTCTATCGTTGTCTCACCGTACCAGCATGCACCGTACCATTAGATAATATATACAGTACGTTTACAAACAGAGACAACAAATAATTCTTTTTATTGTCTGTTTAAGAAGCAATGTATTGTACTATTGTTAACTGCGTCAGCGATTTTGTCGTTAAAAAACGCAAACAGTAAATGAATAATCAAGGGTAAAAGCAAAAATAATCTATTAATTTGCATATTTGATGAAAGTCTGTAATTTAAAATTATTTATTTACATGAAAAAACTCTAGGTCATAGTCTGACGAATTGAAAATTGTAAATTTAAAATGATTTTTTTCTTTATAAATTAAGATAAATTATAATGTTTTGAAGTAAGATTAAGGAAGCTTTAAACATGTTTTGAATTTTTTGGTCTATTAACAATAATTTAATTACTTAATAATAGATGTCACCACAATCATTTTACATATTTACATTCCTTTATTTAGTATTTAAAAGTTGGCAATCCCCTCAATAATTCAGTATAGGCAACAACATATGGGTGTAGTAATAGTAAAGTCCCTAGGTTCGCAGACAAGTATAAGGAAATGTCCTTGGTTTTTAATGAATTGCATATCGTATTTAGTTTGCAAAACACTTCCTAGTCAGCTGATGGTCAAATTGCGTTTTGGCCACTATGTCTAATTTTAGCACATTCAGCTAATAGAAGACTTTAGTGCTTTTGTATGTGAAAATAATGAAAATGAGAATATACAGTGTTTATCAGTATCAGCTGTAAAAATGTCAGTTAACTGTCGTCACGATGGTCGAGAAAAACTTGGGAAATTCGTTGTGAACGGTGTGTCATATAGTATTTAGCATTTATTTCTTATTAAGGCTACACTTTTATTGTTTTTGGTGATAAAAAGAAGGTTTGTGGATATTTTACTTGTGTATTTAAAAACATTTCTTTGTTTACTACTGTAAAATGTAAACATACCTAAAAGAAAAATGACGTTTAAGTTATTTTATTTATATCTCTGACATTATTTTTGTTTACCTGGAATAATCATAATGTTGCAAGTAGTTTACTCCATCTTTAAAATATAAATATTATTTATTGATCTAATATTTTTTAATTTTATGCAATCAGGTATATGATGTGATATATATAGCTTAATAGGTACATGTTTATGTAAGTACAAATTCGACTGGTACATTTACTAATAATTTGAATTTTCTACAGGTATGCAGAGAAGAATATTGTTTGTTTAAGGTTTTTTTTTATAAAAGTGGGTAAAATGCTGTTCGTTTTTCACGTAGATACTGGTACAATGATGACTTTCGATATGAGTCTTGCTCTAGAAAGGTTAGTACTATGAATATTTAAAACCTTTTATCTTATTTTTTATAATCTCACAATTCAAATTATATTGTTTGTTTTTATTTTGGTAGTGGATTTATAAACATTTCTCCAACTTCCAACTTAAAATTTTTCAAGGTTAAACTAAGACTGATGAAATAAGTTGCACATGTGCCATACTTTTCTTATGAGTCTTTATTTTTAATTTTTACTAACTTAAGATATGATTTTCATCATACTTGTTTTCTAGTTTGTGCTTATTTATATTGAATTTGAATGTAGGGTACATGACAATAAATTTGTGTAGATATTTGTAAAATATTTGGTTAATTTCTAATAATATCGTATCTAAAAATAATTTACCTTGCTTTCCAATATTGAAGCTTTTGTTGATGTTACATGTTACTCATTTTTTTAATTAAATTCCTTTACCCACAGATTTAACAATTTTTTGCTTCTGTTTCTATTAGATTTCATTACTTATGGATATCTTTAAATTTTCTCAGTTGATTGTTTATCCTCCCCTTTCATGAAATGCCTCTTATTGATTTTAAAGTCTTTTTTTTTAATTATCGATATAAGGTTATAATAATATAGCACTACCTGAAGTAGATTATGAGCAGGCAAAATTATTAAAATTGCATGGGTAATATCAAAATTATATAATCTTAAATCCTTAAATGTAAGAAAAATTATACTACTTATAATATATAAATAAGGTTTAGATTTGAAGGATTTTAATAATCCTTAATTTTGGGAAATTTCTTAGGGTGATATTTAATAAAGAAAGGACCATGGACTGGAAAATTAATAATGACTTATTTATTGTTGAACTTATTCGACAACATCGCAATAAGAATCGAATAATAAATTAATTGAAATAATTTTAGTTTAGACATTTGTTTTTATACCTATTTCAGTTGGTTTGTTTCTTAAAGTGCTTAATTCTTTTTCTAGAGTTTCAATTTTGTCTTAAAGGTACTTCACTGTTTCTTCATTGATCTGTTTATTATTGTCTATAAAATTATTTATGTTTCCTATACTTAAATAATATTGTTCTCTATGAATGTTGTCATATTTTGTGCCACTGTTGCCTTTTTAGTTAGCTGAAGTTAATGGAGCTTAAGGGATAAATTTTTTATTGTAAATATCTGTTATAATAAAAGTTAATGAAGAATACAAATTTACATGACTGGTTTCCAAACTGTTTTGTTGTTTCGTGTTTAGCATTGAATATTTTTGAAATTATCAAAATTTGTTTGTTTTCCAAACCAGATCTATTAAAAGGGCCTTTTCTTTAACAGTGAAAGATTTTAAGCAAATGTATTTTTATTTTCTTTTCACTGTTAATGTTCCTTAAAGCATAAAACTTTTTAGTGTCGAAAACCTAAAGTCATATGTGGAAGAAGCTTGCAAAATACCATCCGATAAACAAGTGTTACTTATAAGTGGTGGTGAATGTTTAGATCCAAATAAGAGGGTCTGCTCATACTCGGCAGGTACAGACACAAACCCCATTTTTCTGTTTAGTAAATCTGTTATAGAGTCCTCCACACCACCACTTCCTAGCATAGATTATGGATCTGACGGAGGTACGTAATATTTGTTCCTTTTTCTTTTAAAAGATATATCAAAGAACTTTATTTTCCCTTTCGAACTATTGAGATTCATACAAGGTTTAGAAAGAAAAATAAGTATTGCAAAATGTTGAAGCTTTAATATAAGATAGCTTTAGAAATGTTAAAGTAATTCTTCTACATGATAAATGTGATGTATATTTGAATTAAAAATTTCATGTTAAAAAATATAATATTCTGTTTATCTGTCAAATTTATATAGGTAATGGCAATAGGCACAGTCTGATTTTATGATTCTAATTTTGGTTGATTATTTGGTGCACTATTGACCTCATTAGGTAAATGTTGCCATTATAATTTTTTTTTCTTGGTTTTGCCCTAATTATATTAATTAATAAAATTGATCCGTATATAATAGTTAAATTAGATAACTCCTCTCGAAAATTGTGTAACCCATAACTACGATCAGATTATATTTTTTATTCGAATGAAACTTTGAACTATCAAACTGTTTGTTCAAATAAACATGTTTGGTAGATCCGAACGATTCTAATAATGACTCCTTTAATAAAAAAAAGTTGAAATAAAAAGAAAAAATTAAAGTAGTTTTTTTTATCTGTAAAATAAAACTTATAGTAACCATCAGAGATGTAATGTTTTTTTTTTCAATGAAAACATTTTAAAAATATATTTAATGATTTTTTATAATTTCAATTTGAAACGAAAATATTGTTTTTAGACTTAAAAGATAAATTGAAAGAATGTTGCGATCTGCCAGCAACTCTAAGTACCGTGACAAAGCGAGCACAGTTAGCTCAACAATTTCAGGAGCTTGCTAGAGAACAAACAAAGGTTTGTGAGAATCTTGTTCTCGACCAACATTTGCAGCAACAGGGCTGGTCCGCTGTTGTAGCGAATCTAGAGGATATTACTTCTGAATTTAAGAAAAGATCCGAAATTTTTGAGAAAAGCTTCAATGATTACATGGAAGAGAGGGACTCTTATCTCGCATTTCTAAAACAGTGAGTGAAATCCTTGGCACAGTGTTGACTAATTTATTATTACGTATTATTTTCAGTTTTAATGATGATTTAGTAGTTTTACAAAAAATTCCTATTCTGTCAGCACTTCTTGAATTAGAGAAACAAAACCCCGAAAGTGAAACCTCTAAAACTTTAGAGGACAATACAAATACCTCGCAAGGTACAGAGAGCGCGAAAGAGATCACCTTGCTGGAATGGATATCTTCGGCGGACAGTAAAAGCACTATGGATCAGCTTTACGAGCATTGTTCGAGAGGCTTAGAGCAGGTAGGTAGCGAATAAGATAATGGAAGTTATGAATTTCAATTCTTTTCTATTTCCAGTTTGATGCTCAAGTGTTCAAATCATTGAAAGAAGAGATAGCGGAAATGTTGAAGAGCGCTGATAATCCACAGATGAAGGAAGTAAAAGGCCTTGGGGAGAGACTCTTTGGCCTGGAAACTCTGATGAGAGAAGCCAAAAAATATGTACAACAACAAGCTGATTTAGCACAATCATTTTTGAAGGTAAAATACGTATAATAAGGTGCAGTAAAATAAATGAGTAAAAAAGAGTATTAACAATATTTATAATCATATTTCCAAATATATTACGTCTATAAAAATTGGAAAATTGCACAGATGACCTAAGTATAACATTGACTGTAAAATTTAGTGGTACATAAACCAGTAAGAATGTTGTGGTCATAAAATTTTACAATTGCTACCATGTAGTAGTTTTATGATTATAATGTTCGGTAATTCAATTTCAGATTGAATCAGTACCTATTTGAAAGTGAGACGAATATCCTTCATAGATTAATTTTATTTGTATGACCTGAATTATTTATTATTTAATTAAGAATTAGAACACTAACATTATCAACAATTTATAACTGTTGGTGATCGATAATGATTTTTTTTTGTTGCATTTTTTTTAATGATTTAAGTAACATTATTGCTTAACAGTATTTCTGTTTCTATACTTCAGAAAAAGTTGAGTTATTGTTTCTTATAATGATTAGGTACTTAAAAGTTATTAACACACTTATAATGATCTAGAAACACACTTATAGTAATCTAGACAGTTTTTTAAATATTTTTCCAAGAGACTTTTTAGTCATATTTGAAATTTGAATAAACTATTGTAGGTTTATTATTTTTCTTAATGAGTTATTCAGTAAAACTGATTACTTCTTTATGATATTCGAGAACTAAATTGCTGCAATAAAATGTGTTTAGTGTGGAGCATTATCTTGCTTTCTTAGGTTTCTTTAAATCTTTCTTTCAAACTCGTATAAAATTTTCTTAATGAGCTCTCATACAAAATCTCAAAATTTAGAAATATAAATTTTTCCTAAGTATTGCCTATTTGACAAGGTTTTAGATCGTTACTATGATTTTTTTAAAGTTCTAAATATTCCAAAATTCTATTAATTTCGGCATCATTGTATTTAGTAACTTGCTTGCAATCTAAGGCTGTCTTTAACCAGATTATGTGGTTTGATGTCGTTTATTGAATTTTGCACTTTAAAGTGTTTTGTTGAAAATATGCACGGTTTTGTAAGCACAACAACGATATATAAACATGGTCTTTACTATTCAATAGTTACAGAAATCTATAGATTTTAAATATTGGGTTAAAGTTACAGTATCTTTAGAAAGTACTGGCGACAATGGTATCACAGCATTGTGATTGGCTCCATCGTTGATGGGGATTGTTGGAATTTACATCTGGACCTCAACAGTTTACGTATTTTTATAGAAACTTTTCCAACAACCCTGATGACTTTGCCAATTATAGCAAATTTGTGACCTGAAGTGAATATTCAGTGCATGTAGAATAATGGAACTGTAATTTTTTTCTTTCATTGTAAAATAATTAAAAATTGAATATCAAAGAATTTTTAAATTAGTCAGACTTCTTGACACTATCTCTTTAAAGCTGGGGAGAGTTTTTAAATTCATCGATGGAATGGGATTCGTTGTGTAAAAAATTCTAACTTTATTTAATTAAGCCTAGATACATATATTATTTTTCTACATAGTCCCCCGCCCTAGAAATACATTTTTCCCATTGGATCGAGAGTTTTTTTATTCCATCATCGTAGAAACTTTTCGGACGTTGTTGTAGCCATTGGAGCATAAATGCTTCCACCTCGTCGTTGTCGTCGAAACGTTGGCCTCCAAGCGCTTCTTTGGGGGGGTCCAAAAAGATGGAAATCGCAAGGGGACAAGTCGGGCGCATGTTCCAGCGTTTCCCAGCCTAATGCATCCACTTTTTGTCTTGTGGCATTGGCCGCATGTGGCCTGGCGTTGTCATGCAAAAGAATGACGCTTCTTACCGATTGCTTCTTCCTTTTCCTTCGAAATGACAATTTGGCGGCATCCAGTAATTCACAATAATATTGTGCATTAATCGTGCGTCGATCATGGAGAAAGTCAATGTGAAAAGCACCTTGCCGGTCAAAAAATACTGTTGCCATTACCTTTCCGGCTGACAAGTGCGTTTTTGCTTTCACTGGTCCCCTCTCGCTGCTTTTTCTCCACTCCACACTCGCCTGCTTCGACTCGGGTGTGTAGTGGTGCACCCAAGTTTCGTCACAGGTGATTATGCGATTCAAAAAAGCTTCACCCTCTTGCTGTAATCGATTAAAGTGTCGCTGCGAAATCGCCAATCGATGTTGCTTGTGTTCCTCCGATAACCGACGGGGAACCCATCTAGCAGACACTTTACACGCATTTTCAAGTCATCAGTCACGATCTGGCGGACACTCCCGTAATTAATGTTCAGCTCCTCAACAATTTCCCAGAGAGTTATGCGGCGATTTCCCTCCATGAGATTTTGGACCGCCTCAATGTTGGCCCCTCTTGGACCCATCCAATTTTAGAGACCTAGGACATGTTTTTTTCCTAGTATTTTTCAGCGTTTCACTCTTTCACTCCTCGGTCCATTTACTGTTTTATGATTTTTATGATTCAAAAAGTAATAGGACAAAGTTAAAAAGGAAATAGTGCAGAGTCTCTTTCTACTTTTATATTTAATTAAGTACCGTAAAGCGAAATGAGAAGAATATTTTTGTATCCTAACAGATTTACATTACAATGCTTTTCGATTAATACTTTTCAAAGTGGCATGATGAAATTTTGATTGGAAACAACCCTTTTTCAAGCAGTTTACCAACCAAATGCAACCTAACAGTCAACTACGTTCAAATGCGAAAATTGACATTATCATGACTGGTAAGATTTGCCATTTGAAATCAGTATTTGTCACATGACTTGCTCAGTCTGGGGTAAGTTGTTAACAGACACAAAATCCAGATAAGCTTCTACTTACACACCTATAAGAGAGGAATAAGAATTTAAAGTTCTGTTTTATCGGTGCCACTTGTTCAGAATTTCTTTTGGTAGTAAAAATGTCTTAATAAAATTAAATGAAAGACATGATATTTTTCTTTTGTAAAGGTGAATTTTTCGTTTTTTATATGTAAAACACAAAATAAATGATAAAACATGCTTCCTAACTGAAGGAGAGATTTTGGAACTAAATATCACAATATTGCCCTTTTTTGTATTCTGTACAACTAATTTGTAAAACATTTAAACTCAATATGACAAACACCACAATGCCAATGCCGTGAAATATTTTGTTATAGAATCAGAGCAGAGCGAATAACCTGCAAGATCAGTCAATTCTTCCCGACCTCTGTGCCTCGCACAGAAAGCAATTGCAGCTCATAGCACATAACCACCAGCAGCTGTGCGACATAAGACGCCGTTGCACCAAAGCTAAGGAAGAGTTAAGCGTGAATTTATACCATCGTCTGAGGTGGGTTATGTATATCGAAGATCACATACTAGAAATCGACCAGAAGCTCGTTATATACCATGAAAATTTAAAGCGCCTTCGAAGGCACTTGGAAGTCTTGCAGCAAATTCATCTGGCTCCCGCCACCTATTTATGTGCAGTTGCGGAGGTGGTCAGAAGAAGGACCTTTTCGCAGTCGTTTTTACTTGTGAGTATGAATGGTCAAGGTAAACGTGGTCTGCTATATTTTATTACCAATTTTGTTGGTTTGCTTTAAATAGTCAGGTCAGGGTTGTTACAGCTATAGAAAACTGGGAAATGTCGGGAAATTTATAATAGTCATGTAATACCGGGATATGAAGAACTTTCGTGGAATTGGATACTTATGTTTTACGTTAGATTTGCAATATAAATAAGTGCAGTGAAAGAGATTTTCAAAATAACAAGTATTTACTTTGGTAATATTTCTTTAAATCTGTCTTTGTGTAAATTTTGGGAAAGATTTGTTGTCGAGTTTGCCAAATTATGTGTCGAGAAAATTATTTAAAGTAGGACCCCAATCTTTTATTTTCATGCCACTGGTTAAATCCAACTCTAATACATTGTGTTGTGTTAAAAAATAGAAACTGGTTTTAAGCAAATTTAATTTAATTTATGCAAAAATTAACTCAAATTTTAATTTCATAATAAAGGAAATCCCATCGAATTTGGTCCACTCTGTATAATATAAGCCTTTCTTAAAGTTTTATCATTACTTTGCATTGCATTTCATTACTCCTTAGCTTAGCTATAAATAATTGAAGGAAGAATGAATTTTTTGTCTGGAAAGTCAGGAAACTTGAAAAAATCATTCCTGTAGCAACCCTGTAAAAATGAAATAATTTTAAACGTGTTCACTTTAAACTAGTGGGCATCAGAATTGGCATGTCATCTCTTAACCATACACAATGAAGAGGTGACTAGAAGGAAAGAGTTCCAGGCCCAGTTCGAGGGTCACTTTTTAACATCCTTGTTTCCCGGCATGGAGGACCTGCCTCCATCGTTTGCCACACAGGCGCCTTCCATGTTCGATTCTAGTTTGCCGAAAATAACTGTGGACGATGTAGATAGACTTAAGAAGGAGTTACCGGACTTGGCGGATAATTTAAACATACCGGACACCTCCGCGATTACTAACTTCTTCCTAATAAAGTCGCTTGTGAAGAAGGAGGAGGAGAAGGTGGACGAAACGGTGGCTGTGGAAGAGAAATTGGTTCAGGCTGTTAATGAAGTAGGACTAGCTAGTAATTTAGATCATAATTTGTTGAAAGCAACTGGGAGTGAACCGTGTTTGACTACCGCCCACGGGCTGCCCCATCTTAAAGATTTGGATAGGTAAGCCACTACTTTGATTTTATACATATTTCTTTGTTTTTTTAATATTTATTTCCTAAATTTAGCTCAAAAGTTTCCAAGTTCAAACTCAAATTTTGCAGTTGAAACATGAAATTTCATATTTGAACACAAATTTTGAAATTACGAGTTACTTTTTAGTTTTTTAATTTTGAGCTCAAACTCGTAATTTCAAATTTAAACTATAAATTTTGAGTTCAAAATTTAATTTCAAACATGAATTTTCAAGTTCAGACTTGAAATTTCAAATTTAAATTAATGTTGGTACTCAAAATTTCGAATTTGGATTAAAAACCTCATGTTCAAACAAGAAATTTCGATTTTAACTTGAAATTTCGATTTTGAATATGAAATATCGAGCCCAAACACGAAATTTTAAGTTCATAAAAAAATACATAAAAATGTTTTTGGTCGCAAATTACTTGTTGTAAAAAGTCCTCATCACTGTGTCATAGGTAGGACAACCAACGAACGATCCAGCTGTTATAGTGTCGTATACTCCCGACAAGAGGTACATAGTACGCGAAGCACAATGGCTCCATCTGTCTATTGCGCTGACTTCCACTATGCCATTCAAATGGCTCCTACGGTGGAAGCGACCTGCTAAAATTTGCCAGGTACTTTGTTGCACGAGGGCGAAATTAATTCTAACCAGTGTTGCAAGAAACAACTACACCGCGGGCTATATGCCCCCCGGCATTGAATTACACTCGCAACACTGAATGTAACAGCTAGGATCGCTCGTCGAAAAAATGCCAAAAATGAAGAATTTGAATATTACCAATTGATATAAAAACTATTAGCATGTGAATTACCTTAATACATTTTTTTTTTGGAATTTTTGCAATTATTTCTGATATTCTCTATTTTTGGGGATGATTCCACCCACTGAGCGCGCTTAAGGGTGGATTTTCTAATTCAACATGCTTATTTCAGTCGTAAGAATAAATCTTCCTTTGTATCAAGAATCATTCGATACAAAAATTCACATGCTAATAGTTTTTATATTTATTGGTAATATTCAATTCTTCATTTTGGGTCTCTTTTCAACTTCTAAATAGGGGTGATTTTTGAAAATTTTCAAAAAACTAAAAGCTATGCTCATCTTAATTTTTTACGACAAGTAATTTGAGACCAAAAACATATTTTTATCTATTTTCTTTAGTTCTCTACGAATTATGAAAAACCGGGCGATTTTTGCGGTCACTCTTTTGAAATCACAAGTTATTTTTTGCTACTAAATTTCAAGCTCATACTCATAATTTGAAGTTGAAACTATTCAGATTCGAAATTTCGAGTTTTATGTAGGAACATGGGCATAGCTACAACTTTTGCTTGCAGTGGGCCCACCTCTAAAAAAAATCTTGGAACCACTGACATGGATTTGCTGAACACGTTTGAAAATAAAAGTTTGAACACGTTTTGATTTCATTCTAAAAAAAAATTGATATTTTCTTTTGGGGGTGGGCATTGGGTTTTCTAGAGTGGGCCGTATACACCCCTGTCTCCCCCTTCTAGCTACGCCCATGTGTAGGTATTAAAAATTTTGAATTCAGACAAAAAGTTTCATGTTCAAGCCTGAAACTTCAAATTTTAATTCAGCAAACAAGCAATATATGACCTTGTGCTTTCCTATAATAGAAAGTTTCTGAACTCTTTTTTTAGTCATTTCATTGCAATGGGTGGACAGAAAAACTAATATTTTTTATATTATTGTCTATTTCTTACGATGATATAGTAAGCAGACTTCAATCTAAAAAAACTGGCTAAATCAACTACCTAACTAACAGCTTTTTAAGCTAATAAAATCATAACTTTTTATTCTAAACATAAAATGTATTGACATTTATCGACTTCAAAGGTTTAGACTCCTTTAAATATTAGATATTCTAACAAAAAACATTTGCTTAAAATATTTAACACAAATTCGATCATTTTTTGATTTTCAATAAAAGAACGGTGACGCAAAATTTGGAGTAGTTTTTCGTGTGATGAATGTGCCATAATAAATTGTGTAAAACAAATTATATTATGTTTATACAATGAAGGAAGTGGTCCCAATCAAGTTTATTTTATATTTCACTGTTTCCAATTTTTATGTAATAAAAGACTCCTTAACTCCTTCTAAACATTAAACTCTACTGTTGTGTAAAATATATGTACTTATTTAAAATTCTTCCTCTATGTAATTTCTGAATTGATAGCGGTAAACTGATTGAAACCTATTTTAGAGGCTGTGAGTCTGAGACGGACACCGAGGAATTTGAGAAAGTCGGTCAGAGCCCAATGGAATTACACTTTGACAAGCAGCTCCCGTCTTCCCGTCCTGGCACGCAAGATGCCTCAACATCCACAGAGGTTGGTGAGAGAAGTCCAATACCTCCTAAAAAACCCCCCCGAATGTTTCAAAAATCCCATCACTTACATTCCGCAGATGACCCCCCTATCTCACTACAACGTACTTTAAGCGTCAGTAGCACTCCGAGCAACACCGAAAGCTTCACTAACATAAAAAACCCTTCCTTAGAGTCCATAGATGAGCTATCGAGCTTAAAAAATCTCACTTCAAACACGGAGAGTTGTTTCAACTCTCACTACCAGCAAATGCAGAGTTACAATACTAATAACTTACCGATACGATCCAAATCTATCTCTCCCCATACTCCGCAAAGTCCCAAAGATCTTCAAGCCGTCAGCCCTATTTCGCCCATTTTGGGTCACCAACCCAGCAGCGACTTTATCAATGACGAGTTTTACATTGACGAAAGTCTGCCCTCAAGCTTAAGTATCGAAACAGGAAATAGTCAGGGTGAATTTGTTAAGCAGCTCGATACGGCCAATAACGTTGTCGCCTTGTTACAGGTATATCTATGAAAAAACTTATTATTACAGAACTCAGCACAGTTTTGTTATTTTTTGATTTTGTTGATTAAGGATTATCTTTTAGTTGGCTTCTGGTCTGCAGTATGATTTTCTTTTTACGCACATGTATATTGGTTCGTTGATTTTTGGCATGTTACAGTTTTTTTTTTTGTTTTATTAGTTTTGCTGGTAACTAGGATTTCTTTTGTACTCTAGATATATTTTGTTTAGAAAATAGGACGTATAAATTACTAGGGAGCCTATTTTACCATAAATATGACCATTTACACTTGGCATCAATATTAACGTATTATTATGGATGGAATCCCCATTTGTTGATTTTTTTCATGAACATAATCTGATTTTGATGGTTTCTTCAGTAACTGTGTTCAGTTACACAGGGTGTTACAAATTAGTAGGTCAAGCAGTTAACCACATATTCTTTGGACCAAAATAATGGTACTTTTCTTATACCACTTTTCATTTCGGATCTCCATTTTCAAAATACAGAGTGTCAAAGTTAAACTTTAAAAAATAATTTTTATTAATAATTCCGGTGATTGTGGAGATATTTATTTAAAATTTAGCACATATTTTGATCTTATGTCGGCACAGTTTTTGTGTAATTTTGGTTTAAAATATCAAAGCACGAATGGAGGGGAGGGGGATGCAGCACCCATGTACCCCCTATTTTTTTATTTTGAGTACGCCTATGCTTCCCGAATATCTTTTTTTTAGATAAAGCAGCATTTTATTCTATTTTTTTCACACTTGTAAGATTTTTATTTGGAGCCTCATTTACGAGATATTGTAACTTTTTTGGATATGCGACATCAATTTAGTCGACGTTGAACTTTAATTTTTGAGATTATGAAAAATTTCTTTTATATGGTACCAATACTAACAAAACAACAGGTAAAGAAACAAAGTGTACGAGGTAAAGAGCTCTTTAGGCTGAAACCACATTGCAACTTTTTTTTTTGATATGTTAGATTTAGCTCAAATTAAATATCGCTGAACATGATGATCATTTCCATTTTATTTAGTAAATTGAAATAAATAAGGCGATTCAAATCTTTCATATAGCACTAAAAAATAAAGTCTAGTGTCGACTAAATTGATGTCGCGCATCCAAACAAGTTACAATATCTCATAAACGAGGCCCTAAATAAAAATTTTCCAATAGTAAAAAAAAGAGAATAAAATGCCGCTTCATCTAAAAAAAAAAATTGGGAAAGCATAGGCGTCCTCAAAAAAAAATAGAGGCTCCTTGGGCAAAGTTACCAAAGTTTCTGTATTCTGCACACAATGGGCTTGTTCACCATTTTTAAAAATTCGTTTTATCAAGGAATTGCATCTAAAAATGGCAAAAATCCAAATTTCATTAAAAAAAAAGTAAAATTTAGTCAAAAAAATTTTTTGAACATTTTTGCTCCCATATTCTTTTGTACCACGCATTTAGTAAAATAATTTAGAGTGAACATTGTTCATGGGTTCTGCAATCCCCCTTCCCTCTGTTTGCGCTTTGATAATTTAAACCAAAATTACACAAAAAGTGTTCCGACTTAAAATCAAAATAAAAGTCCCATTATTTTAGTCCAAAGATGTGGTTAACCGTGCATATTGTTAGAGAATATTCAGGAAGCAAGAGATAATGCGTTATTTTTCCTGAATTTGAAGCCCATTATAGAAAGTGTCGGATAAAATAGCAAATGTCTACTTGAATTAAAAACTGTATTTACCTACGAATAATAGTTTGATTAAAAAAGCTAGGCCATTACATTAGCGAGGTCCAGCAAAACTGAGATTTAAATCGTTGGGAAAAAACATATTTTCTCTTTCATTCTGTATATGCTGCACTCTAAAATTAAAAAAAAATGTTCACCATTACTGAGGAATTAAATTAAAAAAAAATCGTCGGAATCAGTTTTTTTTTTTAATCGGAACTCATATTTAATGGCTTGTTAATTCTCATGCGAACATTTTAAAGTATCTCTTAAAAAATCCCTTTTTTCACATCACGTTTTGGCAATGATGGGCATTTGTTAGTTGAATAAGTTGTCATGATTACTTATTCATAAATTAATCATGACTAATAATTAATAGATTAGTCGTTAGTTGTAATTATACCAAGGATTGATTTATTTGCTAATAATGACTGACATAAACGTGTGTTATTATTATGTAAATAAGTCGATCCTTAGCTTAATACAACAGTTATCAGTCAGATGATCCATGAATCTATTGATTATTATAGTCCAGTCGGTATCTGTTTCGGGATGGATGTTTTATATAGTAACGCTAATTTTTGTTGGAAAAAGTTCTAAATATGTAAAATGATAATTGTGATATGTGCCTGCCGAAAAAGTTGTGCATAATTGTTAGCGCAGGAAAAAGTAAGAAAAAATTAAAAAGCGCATTTTTCCCCTTCTTTCATGTATAATTCGAAGAATATTGACATTGGAGAAAATAGAAAAAGGAAAAAAGTTTTGTCTTCAAAAAAGCCAATATTCTTCGAGTTATTCATGATAGAAGATAGAAAAATGCTCCTTTTTTTTACTTGTTCTTACTCTAACAATTATGCACAACTTTTTCAGTGCTCGCATATCGCAATTATCATTTTAAATAATTTTTAGAACTATTTCCTACAAAAATTAGCGTTATACTATATGAAACATCCATACAACCTACTTTTAAAAAGATACCGACTGGACTGTTAATCATGACCAATACTTGAATAAGTAGTCATGACAGTTTTTTTGACTAACAAATGCCCGTATCATTGCGTTTTGGTAAAACATTTTTGACAATTATGCAGCGAATGACAAACAGAAATTCATATACAAGATAGATTTGATTTTTGCAGATTGTGGTGCAATAATTTTATTGTTTGTAGATTTTGTATACCAATCACGATCAGTATTGTAACAAAATTTAAAATTGAAATTTACTGTGTTCAAGGAATTGAAAATAGATTAAAATAGTTTTAAAAACAGTTCCCTCTTGAGAAATTGTTGATTTTCCTTATTTTACATAATGATTTAATATTTTCTGTGTTGTTTTGTTGATTTTTGTGTTATTAATAATTAATTGGTTGTTTTTTTCCTTTTCTGTATCTGAAAAGTACAGCTATTTCTATTTATTTTTTAAATTGCACATTTTTCGTTTTCATTTGTAATTGGTAATTTTTAAATCAGTTGGTGGCCCAAAATCCTTGCGAAGTATTCCATTAATGTTATTTTGCATGTACATACATAAACACACATACACACTGACGATTAAATTTACTATAGAAATCCACAAACAAAACTACTTTTTAGGATAACCTTCAAATTTCAAGAAGCGAGCACGAAAAGTTGAAGTCATTTTTGATTCAAATGCACCACCTAGCAAAAGAAGCTACAGTTCAGCTTAGGTCCGAGTTAAATGATTTAAGGACACAAGTGCTGTCGGATAAAACTGTCGTCAGTCAGCATTACGAAAGTTTAGGCAGTTCGTGGGAGAACTTGATTGTAGAACGAGACGTTAAGGAAAAAGAGTTAGTTGTCAGTATAAAGAAAGATCATGAGCTAACTGTGAACGATTTTAAGAAAGTTGAACAAGAGAAGAACGAAAAAATTCAGAATTTGTTGATGGAAAAGAGTCAGTTGGAAGCGGAGGTGCTGAAAAGTTGTGAAAATTTAAGCGATCTGCAAGAAACTTTAAATAAAATTAAAGAGGAAAATGAGAAAAAAGTTGAGGAATTGCTCAACCAACTAAGCGAAAAAGAGCTTGAAAAAGAACGAAATATAAGGGAGACAACTGAGAGATTGAACCGAGAACATGCCACAGAATTACAAAACATTAGGTCTCGTTTTAAATTAATGACGATGGAGAGATCACCAACTGACTCTTCCCTAGAATGGACTAGTCAGTTTAGTAGCACACATCATAATACTTTATTGGCTCAGATGACGGAAAATTTTGAAATAGACAAGGAGAAGGCCGTTGTTTCTGCCTTACAAAGAGAAAATGAAAAATGGGAACGACTTCTGGTGGACAAAACTAAAGAAATGGAAGTCAGATTCGAGCAAGAAAAAGAGAGCATACTTCAGGATGCAATTAAAGCAATTTCCGAGGAGAAAGACAAGCAAATCGAAATGTTAGCCGAACGTGAACAGAATTTAAATTCGGAGTGCATAAAATATAAAAACACTATTCAGCAGCTCACTGAGAGCGAGAACCAAAGTAATGATTCAGATTTATTAGACCGCATCAATACTCTACAAACAGAAAAGGAAAAACTGGAAATAGAATTAGAGAAAATTAAAAGTGAAAAAGCCGTTGACCTTTCTGCCTCTGTAGCTATAGTGGAAGGTGAGAACAATGTAATTTTTTTGTTTTAATTATAATTTCTACTTTCTTTTTGTAGGAAAAGATGCGACAACTAGCCCCATAAAACAGAAAGAGATTATGTCCAGAAGTGACGTTTCTTTGGCAAAAGCTGGAAAAGTGAATATAGAGTCTTGCAAAGCTGGAGATCTAGTGCTGGTTTTATGGGATCCCGGTCACGAGAGCTTCCAAGTGTTGCAGGAGAACAAACACATGTACTTTTTACACTCTGATTATTTAGAAGTTCTGGGTCTCGAAGTTTCCGATGGGAAACCTAATAAATTTCATTGCACTGGAGTTGTCATAGACAAAGAATACTGCCATGCGAGGAAGGTAAGTCTTATACAGTATGTGCACGGTTGGAGTGGAAAAGAGGGAAAATATTTTTATTTCTCGTTTTACGAGAAGCAGGTATTCTTGATTAAAATTTTTGCTTGCCTTTAAAATGCTGTTGGCATGGAGAATTTTCATCTTGCAGGTACAGTGTAATCAGAAAATCGGTAAATATAAAAATTGTTAAAGAATAAACTGCCTTTGTTTTTAACAGTACAGAAATTTAGAATTATTATTATTAAATTATTAATAATAATAATAATAATAATAATAATTATTATTAATTATTATTAAATATCGAGGGCGTCATATCAGAAGGGCGTACGAACTAAATCTGAAATGGAAATGAAGAAAACGTTTGAGAAATCAAGATTTAGAATGAATTTGCTGATTTTGCCAATATAGTAAGACCAATACATTATAGTTATATAGAAATTTATATTATAATTTCAATTTGTGAATGAATCGGCCTATTTTGATAGAAACGGGGAGTCAAATGTTTGCTTTTAAAGACAAGCAATACAGAAATTTAGTGACTTCTAGTAACTTTTGCATCTTTTTGTTAGGTTTGTGAGTTCTTTTAGGTCTTCTTCAGTTTTTATCATGGGCCTATCATAGGGCAGAATCATAGTAAAAATTACTGATTTTGAATATAATTAATTCTAACTGGTTCTCTTTTAATGGTAATATGTGCAGGCAAGTTTGTTTGTAAGTCAAAATCACAGGGTAATCGAGTAATTTTTTTTCTATAAATTGGAATCAATTTTTTTTAGTAGTAATTCACTTTTTGAAATTTGTCACTCGAAAATTTTCCACTTGAGAAAATTTCAGAAATGCCGGAAAAATATTTTCTCAATTTTCAAATTCCCTGCCAATTTATGATTAAAGAAATAATAAATAGTTGCGTCCATCTTGAGCTTTATTTTTAAGTAAGTATTACTAAATTATATACAATTTAATGCAAGTAATCTAATAAACAAAAGGAAAAATATAATTTGAAAATTTCTGATAACGCTGGTCGACATTGTTTGTGTGGATTTTGGATTGCTGAAACCGAATCTGGCCTCAGAAATGCCCGATCACCTAAGGTTTCTGAGATATCCTAACCTAAAAGTGCTAAAAACACGATTTTAACATATATTTGAGGTTATATAATATCATTAGGTAATTTTTATTTACAAAATTAGGAATAGCATCTTAAAGTACAATCCTCCCCCTTCCCAAGCGAATTTTGTATCGTCCAAATATCTTTTTTTTTCACTGAGATATGTTGATTTGAAGTTACCGTCTAACCAAATTATGCATTGTCCATGATAATGGCTAGACAGTTATAGTAACCTGCGACGATATAACCCCCGACCCTGACACCCTGATTTCCTGAACCTTTGACCCTGTAACCTGCGAAGCTATAACCTCCGACCCTTACACTGCCAATTTCCTTAATCGTCAATCCTTGTAATCTGCTACACTATATACAGGGTGATTCATTAACAATGGGGTGAGACGGTAACTTCAAATCATCATATCTCGAAAAAAAAAATATTTGGACGATTCAAAATTCGCTTTGAAGGGGAAGGATTGTACTTTAAGATGCTATTCTTAGTTTTATAAAAAAAAATTACCTAACGATATTATATAACCTCAAATATGTGTAAAAATCGCGTATTTTGCACTTTTAGGTTAGGATATCTCAAAAACCTGATAGCTGTTTTACATTGACAATTTATTGTTGAATTCATGAAATTGATTCATCAAGAAATTGGACAAGTGTAATGCACCAAATCTGCTGTCAAATAACTTCATGAATTTATTCATCAAGTTCTTGACGAATTAGAGCATGTTCTAATTTTCGTCAATTTCTTCGTGAAGTTTGGAAGTACCAACCCAACAGATTTCCAGCCTAGGATCAGTAATGAGGTTATGTTATTGGAATATGTAAATAATTGTGTGGCGTCGTACTAATTTTACATTGTTTATACTGATTTGTTACTTACAAAAACTAATATTTATATATGTCAAAACGGTACCACTGTTGTATTACTACAATTATGAGTGGAAAGGTGACATTTTTTAAAATTTATTTGCATCTTTGATTTGTTGGTACAGCTGATTTCATGTGTCAAAAAACTTGACAAAGTCTGTAGCAGGGTAAAACCACACTGTTTACCAATAAATTCGTGAATTAATTCATGAAGAACTTCGTCAATTTATTCTTGAATAAATTGTCAATGTAAAACAGCTATTAGATGATCGAGCATTTTTGAGGCCAGATTCGGTTTCGGCAAGCCAAAATCTTCGCAAAATGACTGTTCGTACTGAATCCACACGCCTCATGTCGATCAGTGTAATTAGAACATCAAAAAATGGCTACATCCTGTATATAAAAAGAACTAAGATCACTTTTTAACATTGTCTTTAAACCATTCTTGCAATATTTGCCTGTTTTTAATATCCTCTGTACTGTCATATGAATTTATTGTCATGTGCTGTCATTTTCAATTTACTTCTGGACAGTAAAGATTGAATATTTTCTTATGCATCACTTTTTTGCAGTCTGAAAACAGATACAGGGTGCCAAAGGGTACGAAGTTCTTCAGGGTGAAAGTTCAACCTTTGCCGTCTTCAGCCGCATCCAAAGACATCACCAGAAGTCTGTACCATCAGAGATCCACGGCCACAGACATCTCCCACATGTCCCAGAGTCACTCCACAATCTCCACCATTACAGAAATCATTCCCGAGGACAAAACAGATTCTCATTCGTTGCCCCCCTCGCCCACGTCGGAGTACCCTACTATATTAGAAAACAAAATCGAGGAAGCAGATCCTCTCACCGCCGACGTCGTGAGTGTCGAGAAATGCTTCGCCGAGGACAGCGGCATCGTGGACAACATCGAACAGGCAGCGGCAGCTTTGGACGTGACTCTTACTACAGAAAGTAACGAGGGTAGTGATCGGTAGGTGTAATACTTCTTGTTCAGTAAAATTTCCCGACAAATTTTGTTATAGTTTTACGATTAGAACTTAAATACTGTAAGGAATTTTAAAACTTGTACATATTCATTAATTAGAGTGTAAAGGAAGAGTTTAAAGTATGATTGATTTTTTAAATTGACGGTTAGTTGCGTTGAGAAAAGTAAGCAGAAGTTTTCTGATAGTTTAATGTATGTCCCGGTCAGATTTTCGTTTAGCGTGAGACGTTAAATTGGGACATGCTGTTTTCTGTGTTTATATTTAATATTAATTATAGTTATTATTAGGTGTGCGACATATTCAACGAAATTAGATGAGCAGCATGCGTATATTAGCAGTACATGGTTAGAAATGATGATCAGCCGGGTTTTTAGTAAAAGTTATCAAAACCAATAAAACAGTGGCACAAAATAGTATGTAATTGGTTTTTCCTCAGTCTTAACAGTTCTAACTAAGTTTCTTATTTTTTTATATCCATCACTTAAACTAATACCGTTCATGTTATTAACTCAACTACCCAACATCATCAATTCATTCTCTGTGTTCATAGGATATTTTTGGATTCTCTTTTAGGACAGGCGGAATATTTAATGTGTAGAGGTATTAGTTTGTAGCTCTAACAACTTTATTAAAATATAAATTAGTTCCTTTAGCAAAGCTGTAGATATACTTACAAGGGCGGAAAGTGTGTCGTACCGTTAAGAAAAGTTAAATGTGATCTAAATTATAGATTATCGATCGTTAGTTTTGTTTGCGTACGTTTAAAGTGAGATAGTAGTGAGAGAGAACATTATTAACTGTTTATAATTTGTCGAACGTTACGGAACGTGTAACGATTCAGTCAACTTTTAGTTTTAAGTGAAACATATTATAACTGTAAGGAGAAAAAATATAGTTAGTTTTATTTTTAGCTAGTTTTAAGTGTTTGAAAATTTATTTAAAAGTAATGTTGTTTTATGTCTAAGAAATAAATCTCATTAGTTCCTTATCAAAACTATAGAAGAAGGCCATAAAAATGACATACATTTTTTAATTTTCAGCAATTTAAATATATAAGTAAATATATTTTGCGAGTACTGGAGAGTTTAAACTTTCATCTAAAGCTGCCAATAATATTTATTTTACATTTCATGTACAATAACTGCGTTGGGGTCATATTGACCATTGAGAAGCAATCCGGTGGCGTTCATATGGCACAAACGATTACGATTTAGCTTGTTCCTGCTAGTGCTGATGCAGCTCACTGTGTAAACAAATATACAAAGATCTCATAATTAATTACAATTTATCGTTACACAGAACATCAGTATTGATACGTTTTTGACTTTTTCTCAGAATAACATGTATGTTTTAACCTTTGGTGAGAGAATATATTGATAATAGTGCCTCTTTTAAAATATTTTGACAAATTCATTGAAATTAACAGTCCTGTTGAAGGATGTTTGCAAACCTAGGAAATCAGCAAAATTGGGAAAACTGGTAATTTTGAGATATACAGAGCGTCCTGATTTATAGGTGTACAAACCATTAAGGAGGAACATCCAAGTAGACAGCGCAAAAATAGGGGAATTATAGGAATTATTATCTCAAAAACTATTTGATTTTATCCAGGTCCAGATTTTATTTAAAAGTGTACATATTGCAGCAAATTTCTTTAAAAATGTATATCAACTGGGAGCGCTGCTGTCATAGGCTTACAAAACCAACCCTCGCTCGCACGGTCTGCGGTTCCCAAGATTACACGCAGTTGGTTGACCTGAAACAAAAATTTCAAAAAGTTTCTTAAATATAATATATGGCGGCCTATTGAACTTTGCATTCATTTTCAACGTTAATTTCCAACCTTTCTAGCTTAATAAAAAAGAATTAAGTAGTGAAAAAATTGTATATTTGGAAGTAGAAAACATGTTCGAAAATATTGTGTCAAATTTTAGAAGCAATTGGTTGAGCTTTTCTGAATATTTTGGAAACCGACTGAATAGTATTGAGATAATCGTGTTCTCGATAAATCGCCCATAACTTTTACAGTTCTTGGAATATCAAGATAATTACACAAGGTATTCTTCATATTCCAAAATTGGAAAATTCTTTTGGAAAAATCGGTTTTTGTAAAAAATTCATAATTGCTTATACAATCTGCGATTCCTGGACTATAGAGTAGGCCCTCCACAGTACTGGCAGCATCTTTTGTAGCATTCCACATAACTTCCACAATTATTGGAATTGGAATTTTAATATGAAATTTACACAATATTTTTAAGACTAGAAAATTCAATCCGAGCGAAAAAAATTTGAAAAAAACACTTTTTTCTACTCCGATATTCCTCCTTAACATAATAACTAACATGCTCAAACGGTTTTTATTAAATAAAGCCTAAGAATGTGCATTAGGGTGGCCCAAAAAAAAAACTAACATTTTTTTTCATGTCTTGTGAAAATATGTTAGTTTATCATGTTTTAAGAGCCCCCTAAAAAAATCAGTTCAAAAAAAATTTTTTTAGAGGTCACAAGATTTTTAAAAATTTCCAAAATCGTCGAAAATTGATTTTTTTTTATTCTCGTTATTTTATCATTTTCTAGGTTGAAAAAATCTCGATTCTGAAAATTTCAAATCTTTTTTTTTCATTTCTAAAAGACACTCATTATTTTAACTTTCATAGTAGTGTACCTAAAATGTTTTCGAGCAACCTAAAAATAAATATCAATGAACTAATAATTTTTTTTATTGAATTTGATGAACAAAAGATAGAATGCAGTAATAAATTTTGCCTTAAGAAATTTTTTAAGTGTCTCGTGACAGATTTCTATTCTTTTGTTCATCAAATTCAATAGAAAAAATTATTAGTTCATTGATATTTATTTTTAGAGGTTGCTCAAAAACATTTTAGGTACAATACCTTGAAAGTTAAAATAATTGTGTGAAATTAAAGTATCAATTTGAAATTTTCAGAATTGAGATTTTTTTCAACCTAGAAAATAATAAAATAAAACAAGAAAAAAATTAAAAAAAAATTCAATTTTTCACGATTTTGGAAATTTAAAAAAATCTTGAACAATCTCTAACAAAATTTTTTTTGAGCTGATGTGTTGATCCTAATGTGCATATGTGGAAACTATTACGTTCCTCAAAATTGCAGGTCTTATTTTTGCCACGATTTCTTTAGGGGCTAATTTTTAGAAAATCGTCTTAGCCATTTTTTTTAAACCAAAATGTAATGATACCGTGTTATGTTAAAATAACCCTCTACCATTTTTTTTTATTTAAATTTCATTTTTAAATTTAAATAAAACATTTAAAAATTGCAATTCTTTACATATTTTCATTTGTTTCAACAATTTCATTATTGTTTGTTTTATTTAAATTTTTATGGCTGATACGAAAAAAAGAAGGAAATTTACACTTGCACAGACGACTTACATTTTATTTTTTGGAAAATTAATTCTTAATCAAAAAAAGAAATCACTTTAGTTCATCGCAATGCGTGCAAGGGTGTTATTACATTACAAAACGGCTTCAAAAAAAAATCGTAGCAGATGAGGATTTGTAATTTTGAGGAAGTTGTAGGTTCCAATTATGCACCTTCGTAGAGTCTATTTGAAAAAATATAAGCATATATTTTTTATTTTTTATCATAATAGTTTGTACTCCTCTAAATCAGAGCGTCACCAAAATCGATAGAGAAACATTTAAATAAATCTGGGAAAGTCTGAGGAAACCAAGGAAGATTTATTTAAAAAATCAGTAGACATCATTTTTATTTAGAAACAACTTGTTAAATTTTGGAGTAGAAAGTTAGACAAAATTTGTATTCATTAGAAATTATTGTAATTTTTAATATTGTTTAGTACATGTGTTTGTAATGGTGAAATGAAATTATTGGAACAAAATTTAATTTCAGTACCTTCCTAAACCTTCTAATCTACTGTTTCCCAATGTTTATTGAGTTAAATAAGACTTGATTGGAAACTATTTAACCATTTACAACTTCCACAGAAGCCTGCAAACCAAGTTAAATAAAGGCTTGTTCTGTATGCAACTCAAGTGTAATGTGGTGGAACAGCAACAAAAGATGTGCACAAGGCAAGGAGGTTCAGTATTTCATAGAGATGGGCATTTTTCGGAAAACTGTGTTACGGACATGTCCGTTGGACATGTCGATGAAATGTCCGGACATGTCGGGAAAAGTACTTTTGACCTTGAATTTAATAAGGCACCTATGAGTGACGTCATGTTTTCACAGGTCACTGTTTGAGGGTACACAAAGCAAAATATTAATTTTATTCTAAATTTTTTTTAAACTTTTTTATAAACTGGTTTCTAATTTTCCCCGGACAGCCAATACACTTTTTTAAATGTTTTTCCATCCTACTGGAATTCTTAAAAATTGTTTTTTAGCAGAAGTTACAACTGTTGATTTTGGCGTCATACTTCATTTATAAACTGTGTATTAAATATTAAATTAAGAATCAACTGATTACTATTTACTAATCGTTAACTTTGCCAAATATAATAAAATACGGACATATAAAAGAGGTTATATTTTTAAAATGTCAGTTTAAACAATTGCCAACAGAATTACAAGAAAATGGCTAAATATCTTTAATTTTACATGTATCAACCTCAATTTCTTGTGGGAATTATGAAAGCAACAAATAATTCCGTGCATGCGCATATAACTTTTCAGTCTTGAAAAGTGTCTTCGTATCAGGACATGTCCACTTTTCACAACATATCCGATGGACATGTCTAGCTGACATATCCGCGGCACATCTCTAGTATTTTATTACCTAATGATGGCTACCTTGCCCTCAAAACTAAGTTTTATATTCAACTTATGAATAAATCCAATTTGTTTGGATTGTTTATCATGTCTTTTGATATAATAATTAAAGTAATTAAACAATACATTTCATTTCACATTTTCTGCAGCACCAGGTTTAAATTAATTTGTGTTAATTAATATTATATACTGTTTTTTTTTAGTGTTCCGTATATTACTGCATGCCCATGTTTTAGTCACTAGATATACTTATCTATTCCAAATATATTACAATAATTAATTAATTAATATCCGATAATTTAGGCTTCAGTGAATCGCTTTTGTGGTCTTTTAGTATCCGTTAAAAATTCAGTGTTTGTCTGTAGAAAGTGTCTTAGGGTTGTTTTGTTCTGCTTACTTATCTCTTAGTTTTCGAGTGATAATCTAAAAATGTGAGAAAAAAATGAATTCTTTTAATTTAATGTGATATTTTTAAATATATTTAAATCACCTTTCTAAGTTTTTGTTTTTTTTTAAATTTTAAAATATGGGTATTGGTTATTGGTTACCATGATTCCTTAACATATTCTGCTATGTTAAAATTAAAAAAAAATCGCTTCAATCAAAAAATGTTTCTAGCAGACAGAATATTTAATTTTCGTTACGCAGAGTGCTTATTTATGAATCGATAAATCCGTTAAATATTCTGTCCCTCGTATTATGGCCTTAATAATTGTTACAAAAACATTTTTCATATTCGTTTACAAAATAGAATCGTAGGATTAGTTTTGATATTTATAAAATAATTTATTCTATTTCACGGTTGTTTATTCCCACACATACATTTTAAATTGCATAGTCCTAGAATTAAGTGATAAAATATAGTTATTAATTACACTACTTCACGTAATTTGTAACAATTTTTTGTGATAATTTTGTTAGAGTTAATTTACAAAGACAGTGGAATACGAGAATCTTCTCCATAGTAAGATTTGTTATCCAAAAAAATTGAGTACCTAATTTATATTATGTGGTGATTATTTAAGGATATTGTATAGAGTATGTGTTTTTTTAATATTGTATTTATATAAGTAATTGATTTGATTTAGCAAAATGTACAATATTTGCAAAACTTTTTATAACAAATGACAGGTGCAATAAATGAAAATAAAATACCAAAACTACTCCTTATTCAATTCCTATCCTTTTTTTATTTTTGAAAGACTTAAGATGTAAAGCCACTCCAGAATTTTGAAACAAGTCGATTTTTGGATAAATGATTTAAACAATGCTTTATTATGTGAAGAATGTAGGAAAAAAGTTTTAGGTGGGGGAAAGATCGGGAACACGAGTTTTTTCTATGCGGAGCGCGGACACTCGCAGTGCACTGAAGGAGTATAGAAAGAATATAGAAGACCAATTATATGGTGCAGACATCGCTGATTGAAGGTATACATATACAGAATTTCTTATGTTGAATGGCAACAAAAACTTTAAAAGCGTTTTTCAAGAAACCACTTTTTTTTTAACTGGCCGGAGACAACTTAAAAAATTTTCAATAAATCGACTTGCAATTTTGAAGAGCTTCACAGTAACATAACTGAGGGAACATCAGGGAATTTTTCGATTGATTAACAGTTTTCATTATTAACAATTTAATGCAAAATTTATTGTCTTTTTTCGTTACTCTTTTTTGAATGTTCACTAATTCAATAATTAAATATTTGATTTTTTGTTCCAAAACCGTCCGTTAATAAAAAAACCCTTCTGGCCATATAGCTCTCTAAAAAAAAAGGTATAGCCGCTTGCAGTCACATACAGTCGCCATTTTGTATCCAAATCATTTGAAAAAATTGACAATACTACCTAAAAAGATGTACAATAAAGCCTTTTTGTTCTTTTTGTACCCATTTTTCTTTGAAAATACCAGAAAATCACCTTTTTTCCAACCTCTAGAATGACATATTACCCTTAGGCCAATGGTGTAATTAAAGATTCAGGCTTTTTTTTTCAGGTGACAAATTCATTAATTATTTTGATGTAACTAATAGAGATCCCCGTCGCGCCACCTAATTTTAAAAAATAAATTTGTTTCGAAGTGACGGCAGTGTTCTCAATTTTCTTCTATAATTTTTGAGTAGATATTTACTACTTGTTTAAACATCAACTGTTTCATATATCCTAACACAAAAATTAGGTGGACTGAAATCAGGACTTTGAGTCGACCAAAGAAATAGGTTCCTTTCGCCCTAAACGAGATACCACAGGACGTCCAAAGATTTCCCCCGAGCAGAAAGAAATTGTCTTTGATTTGGATGTATTTCCAAAAATCTTCAGTGGCTTTTGCGTCCATTAAATTTTTTCTACGTATATAGGCATACTACAGAGCCCTCATAAATGATTACAAGCCACGTGACCAGTAATTTTGTTTGTAACAGTAATTTTATTTCCTTCACGTTGGCTATTAAATTTCTGTAAAATTAAAAATTATTAGAAAATTAAGGTTAAGATTACGTTAAAACACAATTTTCTATTTTACCGGCTGGTGATTAATGTACTTTTTCACGAGATACTAGTTTACCAATCAGCGTTCGCATTATCTCGAGCGTAGACGTAACGGTTTGTTACTCTTCATTATAAATAAATCATTAATATTGGTGCCGCCAAGATT